AAACTGAAGTCCGGCTCTGAAAGATCGTGTCTTTGCCTTGGCTTTAGCTTTACCTCCTTTACCACGTCCTGACATTTTTTGATTTCTTGTTGTTTACGCGAAGCAACAGACAAAATAGTGAAACGAGTTTTTTTTGAAGTAGCTCGATTCCCTTTGTCTTACTTATTTAAAGCTAATGTTCTCAAAATCGACAAAATTTCGACGAATAGAAAAACAGCGTTTTCCGAAACAATGGTTTGGCGCGAGCCAATCGATTTTGCGCGCCGCATCACAAATGGAGTCGAATTGGAGAGCACAACTCTGCAATAAATAAGCAAGGCGTTCAACTGCACGCTAGAATTATTCGATATCAATCTCATTGTAGAAATGTCTGACGCTCCGAAAACAGGAGGAAAGCAGGCGCCCAAGGTAGCCAAAAAGGGTGAAAAACGAGCTGGCAAAAAAGGCGGCAAGATCGCCGGTACAGGAGATAAGAAACGCAAGAAGAAGAGACGCGAGTCCTACGCCATTTACATCTATAACGTGTTAAAGCAAGTGCATCCCGATGTCGGAGTTTCGTCTAAAGCGATGAGCATCATGAATTCGTTCGTGAACGACATTTTTGAAAGGATCGCGTCTGAAGCTTCGCGACTCGCCCTTCAAAACAAAAAGTCTACAATCTCTTCACGTGAAATTCAAACAGCCGTGCGCCTCTTACTTCCCGGTGAATTGGCAAAACACGCAGTGAGCGAAGGCACCAAAGCTGTCACCAAGTACACGAGCAGCAAGTAGACGCTCTACTACAAAAAGGCTATTTTCATAGCCACAAATCTTTATAAAAACGGCGTTGTGCGCATTAGAACAAGAAAGCCTCAGTTATATAGCGTGTGAAAACAAACGCGAGATCATTCTGTTAACTAAACTAAAATATATGTTTCTCGCCCTTCATTTTTTTTTTTAATTCATTTAAGACGACTCAATAAGAAAAACGAACTTCCAAACCATACTAGACCGCCTATACTATTTAATACTTGTTTTTTTATTTTTACATTCAATCTCCCTAGACCCTAACTCAATTTGCTTGTTTACAAAGACGATGAACTGTGTTTTGCAAAATTATATTAACTTAGATTAGAAGTTTTGTTTACGCCAACAAGCTTCTCGTTACGTTGCATTTGTTATTAGCTTTAAACTTAAAACGAGTTTGCTTAACTTACGTGTTAATGAAATTGATTTTTTCATTCGATCCATAGTGTTTTGTTCATCTGTATACTGTCGAGGTTTCCATTGATAATTTTAGTTCTTCATTAAAAATATTGTTCGCAGAAATTAGATATACTCATGCATATATCTAAATATATGTTTGTGCGTGTGTATATCACCGACCTTTGATAAACCATGCAACAAAAAATAACAACAACGGCTTCGCAAGGCACAACTAAAGGCAGAGGCGGTTGAATTTGATGGAAACCGATGCAAAAAAAAAAAAAAAAAAAAAAAGCATCGTTTTAATTTCACAAACATTCACAGCCTCTATAGGTTTTGCCTACATGTCCGTCTACATGCCAGATAAAACGTTTTCAACAGATTTGTGGCTATGAAAATAGCCGTTTTGGTTGCTGGGCTGTTTACCCGCCGAATCCGTACAATGTGCGTCCTTGCCTCTTTAAAGCGTAGACAACATCCATGGCGGTAACAGTCTTTCTCTTGGCGTGCTCCGTGTAAGTAACAGCGTCGCGAATCACATTTTCCAAAAAGACTTTCAGAACGCCTCGAGTTTCTTCGTAGATAAGCCCTGAGATACGCTTGACACCACCTCGGCGAGCTAGACGACGTATAGCGGGCTTTGTGATGCCTTGAATGTTATCGCGCAATATCTTGCGATGACGCTTGGCACCACCTTTGCCGAGACCTTTTCCTCCTTTACCACGACCAGACATGTTGAATTGTTCAGTTGAATGCTAACTTCTGGCGCGATTTCCGTACTTTTTATTGCACGTCGAAGTTAACCCGACATAGATGGAAGCAATGCGAACACGTTAAACTGCGCAAAAAAAAAGTGGCGCATTTTCGTTATTGTGTGTTTTCACACAGACATTTTCTATTTTGGATCAGCTAATTAATTGTATAAAAAAAACGAAAAGTGACGCGAACTTACAAAATAACAACTTGGTCACGTTCGCTTTATCAACGCATCGTTTGAAAGTAAAACTAAAAACTAGAGAATCTGCAAGATCAGAGCCGGCCTCGTTCGTTTTATTTAGCAAAAAAGACGCCATAGCTTTTGCACATTTTTTCGAGCCAATCAAAAAGCACTTTCTAAGCGCCAATCAAATTGATGCAGTCTTATAGAGGCGCTAAAACTCTAACAAGGCAACAAACCAGCGAATTAGTTTGAACTAGTGCTATCTCGAAAGCAGTGCAATTCATCGACTATGGCCCGAACAAAGCAAACTGCCAGAAAATCCACCGGTGGTAAAGCACCTCGAAAGCAGTTGGCAACGAAAGCAGCGAGGAAGAGTGCCCCAGCTACCGGCGGAGTGAAAAAACCTCACAGATACCGACCCGGTACCGTAGCTCTCAGGGAAATCCGAAGATACCAAAAGTCAACTGAGCTCCTCATCAGAAAACTACCGTTTCAGCGATTGGTACGCGAAATCGCGCAAGACTTTAAGACCGACTTGCGCTTTCAAAGCACCGCCGTCATGGCCCTTCAGGAGGCGTCCGAAGCCTACTTAGTCGGCCTCTTCGAAGACACCAACCTGTGCGCCATCCACGCAAAGCGTGTCACCATTATGCCCAAGGACATTCAGTTGGCGAGAAGAATCAGAGGAGAGCGAGCTTAAGAACTTCCTTATTCACGAAAACGGCTATTTTCATAGCCACAAATCTGTTAAAAACGTGTTCGGCTTCGACCGCGGTAGCGTGTCTACGCTGCTTACCCCTCAGTACGCCACTGAGGCTTTTAAAAATGAACCAAATGCGTTCATCAGAATTCTGGTGTGCGTTTTAGACCTCTCTACGACAATGCGCGCCATAGGCGTTTAGGTTTACCCTGAGAATGTTAATAATTCTGCTACGGCCACAAAAAAGAGATAAAGCCATTCCTGGGTTACACACAGCGGAAGAGTGCAATATTGTAATATAGCTTTTTCTGACCTACTAGCTGTTTTGCCTGATTTCATTTTAAGTTTGTGGAAGCTCAAGTCGAGAAAAAATAGACTTGGATCGCAATTAGAAAAAAACGCTCTTTCATTGCAAAAACGTAAACAATTCACATAGCAAAGTATCAAGAAAAATCTGCCTAATAAAATTTTCTATTACGTGTACGATGCACAACTTGCATAAGTCACGTATGTTTGAGGACGAGCCGTTTTCGCTGAAAACTCCCTGATTTTTTTTGATTTTTATTTTGGGCATATATCTCCTGAATCTAATCTAAGAATCCCCCGATCTAACAGACACCCTGGCAAATATTTTTTTATTTTCAACTGAAGAACTCGATGAAAACAGTGAGAGCGTTTTCGGGTATTTACTCGTAAATAAAGTCGTATACGTTATATGCTTTGTCAACGACGCAGGATTTTATCGCAACCAACAAATCGTTATCTGTTCTATATGCCTATGCTCGTGTTTTTAGAAAGATGTGTGGCTATGAAAATAGCCGTTTAAACATGAAAGGGCAAGCCGAACTTATTTCTTCTCGACTTTGGCGGTGGTCTTCTTCGCTGCGACTTTCTTCTTTGGAGTAGCTTTGGCTTTCTTGGCAGCAGGTTTTTTTGCTGCCAACGGCTTTTGGGCGCTCTTTTTCACTGGCGTCTTCTTAGCTGCTTTTTCTTTCGGTTTTTTCGCTTTTTCTTTGGCTGCTGTCACCTTTTTTGTCGGAGCGGCTTTCTTTTTGGGCGTGCTTTTCTTTACTTCTTTGCTTTCTTTCTTGGCTTTTTTAACGGTTGCAGCAGCAGCAGCGGGACTCTTCTTCTTAGCCGCTTTAGGCTTGGCAGCAACTCTAAACGAACCGGATGCGCCAACGCCTTTCACTTGTACCAGCTCACCGGCAACGACCATTCGCTTAAGATTAATCTTCACTTGCGAATCGACATTGTCGCCTACCTTGTTGTTGGCTTTAACGTGCTTAGCGATGGCTTGTCTGGACGATCCTTTACGTTCTTTAAGCGAGTTGATGGCATCAACAATCATGGCCTTGTACGGAGCATGATCGGCAGGCTTTTTGGGAGCTGATTTCTTAGCGATCTTCTTAGGAGATGCGACTTCACTCATTTTCTAGTTATCACGCAAACTTTGCAACTTTGCTAATTTTATCTTTCAAATGTCTGCATCGCCGAGTTGTTTTCCTTTTTCTAGCCGAGTTTGTGCGGACTGTAGAGGACTATCCAAAAATTTCAGCTACTCCGTCGAGCTGCAAATTGTGTTTTCGTGTCTACAGGGAGACGTCCAGCGTTCACGTAGCTCTACTGCTAGAAACTGCATTTCTTCAAAAAATCTTCTGTAGAATAGTGACGCTCAACAAACTCATTCGTTTCCGTTCGATAGCGTTTCGCTAGCAATAGATATGCGCTCAAAACGACAAAAATTCGCTGTGCCAAAGCAAACTAGCGTGCGCGTCGAAAGAAAACTGAAGTAAAGTTGACCTTGATCAAACCAAATTTGCTTCTAAGGACAGACAAACAACACGGGAAGAAGAAAAACCAAAGTTTTGCGCTTGCCAAGCTATAGATGTTGCTTAGACAGCAGAGTAACAAGCGACACAAACACGCGCGACAGTGATAAAAATGATTAGGCTTGCATCACGTGCCTCAGTACTTTTACAACTTCTTGTCACCGCGAGAAGGTGCCTAAGTGGTGTGCTGATCATTTCGCCGCATTTATTTCGAAATTGCGTTGATAATCAATTGCTTGGCAGTTTATCGAAGCATTCTGCCAGACGAATGTTTAAGTAAACTGCCGAGCCGTTTACTCTCTGACTTTATTCGACATCTTTCTGTCGCGTTAATTTTTGGCACAAAAACAAAAACAAAACAAACAAACAAAAAAAATCAACATGATAATATGACGAGTGTTGTTTAATGTTGACGAGATGCTGTGGGAAATGTGTTGTATCACGGTGGGATGCAAGTGAGACACTGCGATATAAATATATAAGAGTTTAGTTAGAATAACCCTAAAATCTTTTCGCACTAAATCCCATTGAGGTGACAATCACAAACACAACACGTGGAGCATCGACACATTATAATCAGAACTATTTTGTCATTTTCTTGAGATCAACTTAACAAAAACGACACTTTTGAAACAGACTAATGCTACTAAACTAAGGCCTGCAGGTGCTTTTTAAACGTTACAGCCAAAAGAGATTTTTTTAAACCGAAGCGGTTGGCAAAACTCTGGAGAAAATCTCAGTTTTTAAAAAAAACCTTTTTCTTTTTTTTGTCAAGTTTGGCGATTGCCACAAATATGATCTCGAGTGAAAAAAAGTTGAGTTTTTTTGCGGTGCATAATTAGTTTGTTTTATCATTGGAAGAAAAAAAAAAAAAAAAAAAAAATGATAAATGACTAAACTTTTGTCAAATGTCAATCTGCCATTTACAGTGACTTTACCTGACTATATTTTTTTCTGTTCGAGATCGACAAGTTTATAATAATTGTAATAAAAACGAAATAAATAAAACTAGCGAAAATGGCACCAAAAAATACCAAGCTTGGCGATCGCGTAAATTCGGCCACCCGTTTTGACAACTGGTGATCTAGACGACTGTTTCTATCATTTCGTAAAAAGGGAAGTCAATGAACTAAATAGTAACTCTGTAGCGGATCCAGGACATTATTTTTCGTTTATGTATTTCGCCCATTTAAAAGTTGGTGATCTAATCTCGTAAAAATAGGTCACCCATTTGACAGCTGGCGATCTAGCCTGTTGCTTTTATCATCTGGTAAACGAACACTGAAGAGCATCTGAAGAGAGATGCAGGACACTTATTCTGTTCGCACGTTTCACCCGTTTGACACCTAGCCATCAAATCGATTGCTTTTATTGTCTGATAAAAGGACACTTTTTGTACTGAAAAAGAATCTCTAGATTGAATTAAGAACACTTTGCCTGTTCACACGTTTCCACAATATGACCGCTAACGATCTAACCGATTGCTTTTATCATCTGTTAAAAAGAACACTTTTCTTTGGCGTGAAAAAAAAAACAACAAAAAAAACTCTGGATTGAGTTCAGAAACTTTTTGTCTGTTCACACAATTTACCCACCTGACAGCTAATGATCTAACTGATTGTGTTGATTGTCTGATGAAAGATTCCTCTGTGCACTGAAAAGTAACTCTGCAGCGGAGCGAGGACTATTTTTTCTGTTCTCCCATTTTACCCACTCGACAGCTAGTCAAAGAAACACTATCGACTCAATAATCAATGTTGACTATTCTTTTCTTTTTTTTTTTTTTTTTTTTTTTTCTTTTTTGTTCTTTTCGAGACAGACACGTTAAAGCTATACTGTACACTGAAATTTTTGCGTGTTTATAACGGCATTTATTAGACAGATAAGAAAAAAAAAATTTTTTAAAAAATTGAAAAAAAAGTCATTGGGCAAACGAAAGAACAAAAAAAAATCGGTTGCTTTCTGCAGAGTTTTGTTAGCGCTACGCATTTTAGTGTTGCCAAAAGCGCAGAAAATGAAAATGTCATGAAACTAACAACAAACGTTGTAAGTAACTCTTGGGCGGATCAAGGGTTTCTTGGCCGTTCGAATTAAACTCTAAATACATCAAAGCTTTCTTGTGTTTCAAGGTATCAATGAAGGATGTATTGCTAAGAGCGACACGAGCCCAAAAGTATGAAAACGAGCATTTCAAAACAAAAATTTTACAAACCTATCAAACCTCTCTGAATTAATATTTCATTGATAAGCCCCGTAAGACCTCTCTTTTGAATCTGTCACTAAACCGAACTACGTTTAAAAATCGCAAAGTACTTGAAAGAAAAACCTACGTCTAGCTCCAACTCCAATAGACTCTGGAGCCTCAGGGTGTCTGACAATATTTTAAGGTGGATTTCCCTGACTCTTCTACCTGTTTTCCCTGATTTAGTTTAAAGTGACCCAAACTCAAACTTCACAAAAAATGACCTAGATTCGTTTAGAAAAATGCTCTTCAACTGTAAAATTAGAAACAATAATACAACCCACATTAAATGTATGAAGAGAAGTTCTTATATCTGCCAAATAAACTTCAATGTTACGCGTACCGTGTACAACTTATTCAAGTTATGTAAGTTTGATGGAGAGCCATTTGCCCAGATTTAGTCTAAAATTTAACCCAATAATCCCCCGATTTTTTGTTTGCAGATACGTGAACTCCCTGATCTGCCAGACACCCTGACAGTCTATTGGAGTTTTTCGTTCACGCAAAAATGTTTTCGGATGTTAGATACTTTGGAAAAATGGATTTTTTCGTTCACGCAATAATGTTTTTGACAAATGTGTGGCTATGAAAATAGCCTTTTGTTTTAGAGCGTGCTCGCGCAGCACCGCTGTTTACTTGGCTGCTGCTGGTTTTGGAAGTTTTTCGTTCTTCTTGGGCAGCAAAACGGCTTGAATGTTTGGCAGCACACCACCGCTTGCAATGGTTACACCCGACAACAGTTTGTTCAGCTCCTCGTCGTTGCGAACAGCGAGCTGTAAGTGACGAGGAACAATCCTGGCTTTCTTGTTGTCTCGGGCAGCGTTACCAGCCAACTCCAAAATTTCAGCGGATAGGTACTCCAAAACAGCAGCCAAGTAAACTGGAGCGCCTGATCCGATTCGGTTGGCGTAGTGGCCTTTGCGTAAAAATCGATGAACGCGACCAACGGGAAACTGAAGTCCGGCTCTGAAAGATCGTGTCTTTGCCTTGGCTTTAGCTTTACCTCCTTTACCACGTCCTGACATTTTTTGATTTCTTGTTGTTTACGCGAAGCAACAGACAAAATAGTGAAACGAGTTTTTTTTGAAGTAGCTCGATTCCCTTTGTCTTACTTATTTAAAGCTAATGTTCTCAAAATCGACAAAATTTCGACGAATAGAAAAACAGCGTTTTCCGAAACAATGGTTTGGCGCGAGCCAATCGATTTTGCGCGCCGCATCACAAATGGAGTCGAATTGGAGAGCACAACTCTGCAATAAATAAGCAAGGCGTTCAACTGCACGCTAGAATTATTCGATATCAATCTCATTGTAGAAATGTCTGACGCTCCGAAAACAGGAGGAAAGCAGGCGCCCAAGGTAGCCAAAAAGGGTGAAAAACGAGCTGGCAAAAAAGGCGGCAAGATCGCCGGTACAGGAGATAAGAAACGCAAGAAGAAGAGACGCGAGTCCTACGCCATTTACATCTATAACGTGTTAAAGCAAGTGCATCCCGATGTCGGAGTTTCGTCTAAAGCGATGAGCATCATGAATTCGTTCGTGAACGACATTTTTGAAAGGATCGCGTCTGAAGCTTCGCGACTCGCCCTTCAAAACAAAAAGTCTACAATCTCTTCACGTGAAATTCAAACAGCCGTGCGCCTCTTACTTCCCGGTGAATTGGCAAAACACGCAGTGAGCGAAGGCACCAAAGCTGTCACCAAGTACACGAGCAGCAAGTAGACGCTCTACTACAAAAAGGCTATTTTCATAGCCACAAATCTTTATAAAAACGGCGTTGTGCGCATTAGAACAAGAAAGCCTCAGTTATATAGCGTGTGAAAACAAACGCGAGATCATTCTGTTAACTAAACTAAAATATATGTTTCTCGCCCTTCATTTTTTTTTTTAATTCATTTAAGACGACTCAATAAGAAAAACGAACTTCCAAACCATACTAGACCGCCTATACTATTTAATACTTGTTTTTTTATTTTTACATTCAATCTCCCTAGACCCTAACTCAATTTGCTTGTTTACAAAGACGATGAACTGTGTTTTGCAAAATTATATTAACTTAGATTAGAAGTTTTGTTTACGCCAACAAGCTTCTCGTTACGTTGCATTTGTTATTAGCTTTAAACTTAAAACGAGTTTGCTTAACTTACGTGTTAATGAAATTGATTTTTTCATTCGATCCATAGTGTTTTGTTCATCTGTATACTGTCGAGGTTTCCATTGATAATTTTAGTTCTTCATTAAAAATATTGTTCGCAGAAATTAGATATACTCATGCATATATCTAAATATATGTTTGTGCGTGTGTATATCACCGACCTTTGATAAACCATGCAACAAAAAATAACAACAACGGCTTCGCAAGGCACAACTAAAGGCAGAGGCGGTTGAATTTGATGGAAACCGATGCAAAAAAAAAAAAAAAAAAAAAAGCATCGTTTTAATTTCACAAACATTCACAGCCTCTATAGGTTTTGCCTACATGTCCGTCTACATGCCAGATAAAACGTTTTCAACAGATTTGTGGCTATGAAAATAGCCGTTTTGGTTGCTGGGCTGTTTACCCGCCGAATCCGTACAATGTGCGTCCTTGCCTCTTTAAAGCGTAGACAACATCCATGGCGGTAACAGTCTTTCTCTTGGCGTGCTCCGTGTAAGTAACAGCGTCGCGAATCACATTTTCCAAAAAGACTTTCAGAACGCCTCGAGTTTCTTCGTAGATAAGCCCTGAGATACGCTTGACACCACCTCGGCGAGCTAGACGACGTATAGCGGGCTTTGTGATGCCTTGAATGTTATCGCGCAATATCTTGCGATGACGCTTGGCACCACCTTTGCCGAGACCTTTTCCTCCTTTACCACGACCAGACATGTTGAATTGTTCAGTTGAATGCTAACTTCTGGCGCGATTTCCGTACTTTTTATTGCACGTCGAAGTTAACCCGACATAGATGGAAGCAATGCGAACACGTTAAACTGCGCAAAAAAAAAGTGGCGCATTTTCGTTATTGTGTGTTTTCACACAGACATTTTCTATTTTGGATCAGCTAATTAATTGTATAAAAAAAACGAAAAGTGACGCGAACTTACAAAATAACAACTTGGTCACGTTCGCTTTATCAACGCATCGTTTGAAAGTAAAACTAAAAACTAGAGAATCTGCAAGATCAGAGCCGGCCTCGTTCGTTTTATTTAGCAAAAAAGACGCCATAGCTTTTGCACATTTTTTCGAGCCAATCAAAAAGCACTTTCTAAGCGCCAATCAAATTGATGCAGTCTTATAGAGGCGCTAAAACTCTAACAAGGCAACAAACCAGCGAATTAGTTTGAACTAGTGCTATCTCGAAAGCAGTGCAATTCATCGACTATGGCCCGAACAAAGCAAACTGCCAGAAAATCCACCGGTGGTAAAGCACCTCGAAAGCAGTTGGCAACGAAAGCAGCGAGGAAGAGTGCCCCAGCTACCGGCGGAGTGAAAAAACCTCACAGATACCGACCCGGTACCGTAGCTCTCAGGGAAATCCGAAGATACCAAAAGTCAACTGAGCTCCTCATCAGAAAACTACCGTTTCAGCGATTGGTACGCGAAATCGCGCAAGACTTTAAGACCGACTTGCGCTTTCAAAGCACCGCCGTCATGGCCCTTCAGGAGGCGTCCGAAGCCTACTTAGTCGGCCTCTTCGAAGACACCAACCTGTGCGCCATCCACGCAAAGCGTGTCACCATTATGCCCAAGGACATTCAGTTGGCGAGAAGAATCAGAGGAGAGCGAGCTTAAGAACTTCCTTATTCACGAAAACGGCTATTTTCATAGCCACAAATCTGTTAAAAACGTGTTCGGCTTCGACCGCGGTAGCGTGTCTACGCTGCTTACCCCTCAGTACGCCACTGAGGCTTTTAAAAATGAACCAAATGCGTTCATCAGAATTCTGGAGTGCGTTTTAGACCTCTCTACGACAATGCGCGCCATAGGCGTTTAGGTTTACCCTGAGAATGTTAATAATTCTGCTACGGCCACAAAAAAGAGATAAAGCCATTCCTGGGTTACACACAGCGGAAGAGTGCAATATTGTAATATAGCTTTTTCTGACCTACTAGCTGTTTTGCCTGATTTCATTTTAAGTTTGTGGAAGCTCAAGTCGAGAAAAAATAGACTTGGATCGCAATTAGAAAAAAACGCTCTTTCATTGCAAAAACGTAAACAATTCACATAGCAAAGTATCAAGAAAAATCTGCCTAATAAAATTTTCTATTACGTGTACGATGCACAACTTGCATAAGTCACGTATGTTTGAGGACGAGCCGTTTTCGCTGATAACTCCCTGATTTTTTTTGATTTTTATTTTGGGCATATATCTCCTGAATCTAATCTAAGAATCCCCCGATCTAACAGACACCCTGGCAAATATTTTTTTATTTTCAACTGAAGAACTCGATGAAAACAGTGAGAGCGTTTTCGGGTATTTACTCGTAAATAAAGTCGTATACGTTATATGCTTTGTCAACGACGCAGGATTTTATCGCAACCAACAAATCGTTATCTGTTCTATATGCCTATGCTCGTGTTTTTAGAAAGATGTGTGGCTATGAAAATAGCCGTTTAAACATGAAAGGGCAAGCCGAACTTATTTCTTCTCGACTTTGGCGGTGGTCTTCTTCGCTGCGACTTTCTTCTTTGGAGTAGCTTTGGCTTTCTTGGCAGCAGGTTTTTTTGCTGCCAACGGCTTTTGGGCGCTCTTTTTCACTGGCGTCTTCTTAGCTGCTTTTTCTTTCGGTTTTTTCGCTTTTTCTTTGGCTGCTGTCACCTTTTTTGTCGGAGCGGCTTTCTTTTTGGGCGTGCTTTTCTTTACTTCTTTGCTTTCTTTCTTGGCTTTTTTAACGGTTGCAGCAGCAGCAGCGGGACTCTTCTTCTTAGCCGCTTTAGGCTTGGCAGCAACTCTAAACGAACCGGATGCGCCAACGCCTTTCACTTGTACCAGCTCACCGGCAACGACCATTCGCTTAAGATTAATCTTCACTTGCGAATCGACATTGTCGCCTACCTTGTTGTTGGCTTTAACGTGCTTAGCGATGGCTTGTCTGGACGATCCTTTACGTTCTTTAAGCGAGTTGATGGCATCAACAATCATGGCCTTGTACGGAGCATGATCGGCAGGCTTTTTGGGAGCTGATTTCTTAGCGATCTTCTTAGGAGATGCGACTTCACTCATTTTCTAGTTATCACGCAAACTTTGCAACTTTGCTAATTTTATCTTTCAAATGTCTGCATCGCCGAGTTGTTTTCCTTTTTCTAGCCGAGTTTGTGCGGACTGTAGAGGACTATCCAAAAATTTCAGCTACTCCGTCGAGCTGCAAATTGTGTTTTCGTGTCTACAGGGAGACGTCCAGCGTTCACGTAGCTCTACTGCTAGAAACTGCATTTCTTCAAAAAATCTTCTGTAGAATAGTGACGCTCAACAAACTCATTCGTTTCCGTTCGATAGCGTTTCGCTAGCAATAGATATGCGCTCAAAACGACAAAAATTCGCTGTGCCAAAGCAAACTAGCGTGCGCGTCGAAAGAAAACTGAAGTAAAGTTGACCTTGATCAAACCAAATTTGCTTCTAAGGACAGACAAACAACACGGGAAGAAGAAAAACCAAAGTTTTGCGCTTGCCAAGCTATAGATGTTGCTTAGACAGCAGAGTAACAAGCGACACAAACACGCGCGACAGTGATAAAAATGATTAGGCTTGCATCACGTGCCTCAGTACTTTTACAACTTCTTGTCACCGCGAGAAGGTGCCTAAGTGGTGTGCTGATCATTTCGCCGCATTTATTTCGAAATTGCGTTGATAATCAATTGCTTGGCAGTTTATCGAAGCATTCTGCCAGACGAATGTTTAAGTAAACTGCCGAGCCGTTTACTCTCTGACTTTATTCGACATCTTTCTGTCGCGTTAATTTTTGGCACAAAAACAAAAACAAAACAAACAAACAAAAAAAATCAACATGATAATATGACGAGTGTTGTTTAATGTTGACGAGATGCTGTGGGAAATGTGTTGTATCACGGTGGGATGCAAGTGAGACACTGCGATATAAATATATAAGAGTTTAGTTAGAATAACCCTAAAATCTTTTCGCACTAAATCCCATTGAGGTGACAATCACAAACACAACACGTGGAGCATCGACACATTATAATCAGAACTATTTTGTCATTTTCTTGAGATCAACTTAACAAAAACGACACTTTTGAAACAGACTAATGCTACTAAACTAAGGCCTGCAGGTGCTTTTTAAACGTTACAGCCAAAAGAGATTTTTTTAAACCGAAGCGGTTGGCAAAACTCTGGAGAAAATCTCAGTTTTTAAAAAAAACCTTTTTCTTTTTTTTGTCAAGTTTGGCGATTGCCACAAATATGATCTCGAGTGAAAAAAAGTTGAGTTTTTTTGCGGTGCATAATTAGTTTGTTTTATCATTGGAAGAAAAAAAAAAAAAAAAAAAAAATGATAAATGACTAAACTTTTGTCAAATGTCAATCTGCCATTTACAGTGACTTTACCTGACTATATTTTTTTCTGTTCGAGATCGACAAGTTTATAATAATTGTAATAAAAACGAAATAAATAAAACTAGCGAAAATGGCACCAAAAAATACCAAGCTTGGCGATCGCGTAAATTCGGCCACCCGTTTTGACAACTGGTGATCTAGACGACTGTTTCTATCATTTCGTAAAAAGGGAAGTCAATGAACTAAATAGTAACTCTGTAGCGGATCCAGGACATTATTTTTCGTTTATGTATTTCGCCCATTTAAAAGTTGGTGATCTAATCTCGTAAAAATAGGTCACCCATTTGACAGCTGGCGATCTAGCCTGTTGCTTTTATCATCTGGTAAACGAACACTGAAGAGCATCTGAAGAGAGATGCAGGACACTTATTCTGTTCGCACGTTTCACCCGTTTGACACCTAGCCATCAAATCGATTGCTTTTATTGTCTGATAAAAGGACACTTTTTGTACTGAAAAAGAATCTCTAGATTGAATTAAGAACACTTTGCCTGTTCACACGTTTCCACAATATGACCGCTAACGATCTAACCGATTGCTTTTATCATCTGTTAAAAAGAACACTTTTCTTTGGCGTGAAAAAAAAAACAACAAAAAAAACTCTGGATTGAGTTCAGAAACTTTTTGTCTGTTCACACAATTTACCCACCTGACAGCTAATGATCTAACTGATTGTGTTGATTGTCTGATGAAAGATTCCTCTGTGCACTGAAAAGTAACTCTGCAGCGGAGCGAGGACTATTTTTTCTGTTCTCCCATTTTACCCACTCGACAGCTAGTCAAAGAAACACTATCGACTCAATAATCAATGTTGACTATTCTTTTCTTTTTTTTTTTTTTTTTTTTTTTCTTTTTTGTTCTTTTCGAGACAGACACGTTAAAGCTATACTGTACACTGAAATTTTTGCGTGTTTATAACGGCATTTATTAGACAGATAAGAAAAAAAAAATTTTTTAAAAAATTGAAAAAAAAGTCATTGGGCAAACGAAAGAACAAAAAAAAATCGGTTGCTTTCTGCAGAGTTTTGTTAGCGCTACGCATTTTAGTGTTGCCAAAAGCGCAGAAAATGAAAATGTCATGAAACTAACAACAAACGTTGTAAGTAACTCTTGGGCGGATCAAGGGTTTCTTGGCCGTTCGAATTAAACTCTAAATACATCAAAGCTTTCTTGTGTTTCAAGGTATCAATGAAGGATGTATTGCTAAGAGCGACACGAGCCCAAAAGTATGAAAACGAGCATTTCAAAACAAAAATTTTACAAACCTATCAAACCTCTCTGAATTAATATTTCATTGATAAGCCCCGTAAGACCTCTCTTTTGAATCTGTCACTAAACCGAACTACGTTTAAAAATCGCAAAGTACTTGAAAGAAAAACCTACGTCTAGCTCCAACTCCAATAGACTCTGGAGCCTCAGGGTGTCTGACAATATTTTAAGGTGGATTTCCCTGACTCTTCTACCTGTTTTCCCTGATTTAGTTTAAAGTGACCCAAACTCAAACTTCACAAAAAATGACCTAGATTCGTTTAGAAAAATGCTCTTCAACTGTAAAATTAGAAACAATAATACAACCCACATTAAATGTATGAAGAGAAGTTCTTATATCTGCCAAATAAACTTCAATGTTACGCGTACCGTGTACAACTTATTCAAGTTATGTAAGTTTGATGGAGAGCCATTTGCCCAGATTTAGTCTAAAATTTAACCCAATAATCCCCCGATTTTTTGTTTGCAGATACGTGAACTCCCTGATCTGCCAGACACCCTGACAGTCTATTGGAGTTTTTCGTTCACGCAAAAATGTTTTCGGATGTTAGATACTTTGGAAAAATGGATTTTTTCGTTCACGCAATAATGTTTTTGACAAATGTGTGGCTATGAAAATAGCCTTTTGTTTTAGAGCGTGCTCGCGCAGCACCGCTGTTTACTTGGCTGCTGCTGGTTTTGGAAGTTTTTCGTTCTTCTTGGGCAGCAAAACGGCTTGAATGTTTGGCAGCACACCACCGCTTGCAATGGTTACACCCGACAACAGTTTGTTCAGCTCCTCGTCGTTGCGAACAGCGAGCTGTAAGTGACGAGGAACAATCCTGGCTTTCTTGTTGTCTCGGGCAGCGTTACCAGCCAACTCCAAAATTTCAGCGGATAGGTACTCCAAAACAGCAGCCAAGTAAACTGGAGCGCCTGATCCGATTCGGTTGGCGTAGTGGCCTTTGCGTAAAAATCGATGAACGCGACCAACGGGAAACTGAAGTCCGGCTCTGAAAGATCGTGTCTTTGCCTTGGCTTTAGCTTTACCTCCTTTACCACGTCCTGACATTTTTTGATTTCTTGTTGTTTACGCGAAGCAACAGACAAAATAGTGAAACGAGTTTTTTTTGAAGTAGCTCGATTCCCTTTGTCTTACTTATTTAAAGCTAATGTTCTCAAAATCGACAAAATTTCGACGAATAGAAAAACAGCGTTTTCCGAAACAATGGTTTGGCGCGAGCCAATCGATTTTGCGCGCCGCATCACAAATGGAGTCGAATTGGAGAGCACAACTCTGCAATAAATAAGCAAGGCGTTCAACTGCACGCTAGAATTATTCGATATCAATCTCATTGTAGAAATGTCTGACGCTCCGAAAACAGGAGGAAAGCAGGCGCCCAAGGTAGCCAAAAAGGGTGAAAAACGAGCTGGCAAAAAAGGCGGCAAGATCGCCGGTACAGGAGATAAGAAACGCAAGAAGAAGAGACGCGAGTCCTACGCCATTTACATCTATAACGTGTTAAAGCAAGTGCATCCCGATGTCGGAGTTTCGTCTAAAGCGATGAGCATCATGAATTCGTTCGTGAACGACATTTTTGAAAGGATCGCGTCTGAAGCTTCGCGACTCGCCCTTCAAAACAAAAAGTCTACAATCTCTTCACGTGAAATTCAAACAGCCGTGCGCCTCTTACTTCCCGGTGAATTGGCAAAACACGCAGTGAGCGAAGGCACCAAAGCTGTCACCAAGTACACGAGCAGCAAGTAGACGCTCTACTACAAAAAGGCTATTTTCATAGCCACAAATCTTTATAAAAACGGCGTTGTGCGCATTAGAACAAGAAAGCCTCAGTTATATAGCGTGTGAAAACAAACGCGAGATCATTCTGTTAACTAAACTAAAATATATGTTTCTCGCCCTTCATTTTTTTTTTTAATTCATTTAAGACGACTCAATAAGAAAAACGAACTTCCAAACCATACTAGACCGCCTATACTATTTAATACTTGTTTTTTTATTTTTACATTCAATCTCCCTAGACCCTAACTCAATTTGCTTGTTTACAAAGACGATGAACTGTGTTTTGCAAAATTATATTAACTTAGATTAGAAGTTTTGTTTACGCCAACAAGCTTCTCGTTACGTTGCATTTGTTATTAGCTTTAAACTTAAAACGAGTTTGCTTAACTTACGTGTTAATGAAATTGATTTTTTCATTCGATCCATAGTGTTTTGTTCATCTGTATACTGTCGAGGTTTCCATTGATAATTTTAGTTCTTCATTAAAAATATTGTTCGCAGAAATTAGATATACTCATGCATATATCTAAATATATGTTTGTGCGTGTGTATATCACCGACCTTTGATAAACCATGCAACAAAAAATAACAACAACGGCTTCGCAAGGCACAACTAAAGGCAGAGGCGGTTGAATTTGATGGAAACCGATGCAAAAAAAAAAAAAAAAAAAAAAGCATCGTTTTAATTTCACAAACATTCACAGCCTCTATAGGTTTTGCCTACATGTCCGTCTACATGCCAGATAAAACGTTTTCAACAGATTTGTGGCTATGAAAATAGCCGTTTTGGTTGCTGGGCTGTTTACCCGCCGAATCCGTACAATGTGCGTCCTTGCCTCTTTAAAGCGTAGACAACATCCATGGCGGTAACAGTCTTTCTCTTGGCGTGCTCCGTGTAAGTAACAGCGTCGCGAATCACATTTTCCAAAAAGACTTTCAGAACGCCTCGAGTTTCTTCGTAGATAAGCCCTGAGATACGCTTGACACCACCTCGGCGAGCTAGACGACGTATAGCGGGCTTTGTGATGCCTTGAATGTTATCGCGCAATATCTTGCGATGACGCTTGGCACCACCTTTGCCGAGACCTTTTCCTCCTTTACCACGACCAGACATGTTGAATTGTTCAGTTGAATGCTAACTTCTGGCGCGATTTCCGTACTTTTTATTGCACGTCGAAGTTAACCCGACATAGATGGAAGCAATGCGAACACGTTAAACTGCGCAAAAAAAAAGTGGCGCATTTTCGTTATTGTGTGTTTTCACACAGACATTTTCTATTTTGGATCAGCTAATTAATTGTATAAAAAAAACGAAAAGTGACGCGAACTTACAAAATAACAACTTGGTCACGTTCGCTTTATCAACGCATCGTTTGAAAGTAAAACTAAAAACTAGAGAATCTGCAAGATCAGAGCCGGCCTCGTTCGTTTTATTTAGCAAAAAAGACGCCATAGCTTTTGCACATTTTTTCGAGCCAATCAAAAAGCACTTTCTAAGCGCCAATCAAATTGATGCAGTCTTATAGAGGCGCTAAAACTCTAACAAGGCAACAAACCAGCGAATTAGTTTGAACTAGTGCTATCTCGAAAGCAGTGCAATTCATCGACTATGGCCCGAACAAAGCAAACTGCCAGAAAATCCACCGGTGGTAAAGCACCTCGAAAGCAGTTGGCAACGAAAGCAGCGAGGAAGAGTGCCCCAGCTACCGGCGGAGTGAAAAAACCTCACAGATACCGACCCGGTACCGTAGCTCTCAGGGAAATCCGAAGATACCAAAAGTCAACTGAGCTCCTCATCAGAAAACTACCGTTTCAGCGATTGGTACGCGAAATCGCGCAAGACTTTAAGACCGACTTGCGCTTTCAAAGCACCGCCGTCATGGCCCTTCAGGAGGCGTCCGAAGCCTACTTAGTCGGCCTCTTCGAAGACACCAACCTGTGCGCCATCCACGCAAAGCGTGTCACCATTATGCCCAAGGACATTCAGTTGGCGAGAAGAATCAGAGGAGAGCGAGCTTAAGAACTTCCTTATTCACAAAAACGGCTATTTTCATAGCCACAAATCTGTTAAAAACGTGTTCGGCTTCGACCGCGGTAGCGTGTCTACGCTGCTTACCCCTCAGTACGCCACTGAGGCTTTTAAAAATGAACCAAATGCGTTCATCAGAATTCTGGTGTGCGTTTTAGACCTCTCTACGACAATGCGCGCCATAGGCGTTTAGGTTTACCCTGAGAATGTTAATAATTCTGCTACGGCCACAAAAAAGAGATAAAGCCATTCCTGGGTTACACACAGCGGAAGAGTGCAATATTGTAATATAGCTTTTTCTGACCTACTAGCTGTTTTGCCTGATTTCATTTTAAGTTTGTGGAAGCTCAAGTCGAGAAAAAATAGACTTGGATCGCAATTAAAAAAAAAACGCTCTTTCATTGCAAAAACGTAAACAATTCACATAGCAAAGTATCAAGAAAAATCTGCCTAATAAAATTTTCTATTACGTGTACGATGCACAACTTGCATAAGTCACGTATGTTTGAGGACGAGCCGTTTTCGCTGATAACTCCCTGATTTTTTTTGATTTTTATTTTGGGCATATATCTCCTGAATCTAATCTAAGAATCCCCCGATCTAACAGACACCCTGGCAAATATTTTTTTATTTTCAACTGAAGAACTCGATGAAAACAGTGAGAGCGTTTTCGGGTATTTACTCGTAAATAAAGTCGTATACGTTATATGCTTTGTCAACGACGCAGGATTTTATCGCAACCAACAAATCGTTATCTGTTCTATATGCCTATGCTCGTGTTTTTAGAAAGATGTGTGGCTATGAAAATAGCCGTTTAAACATGAAAGGGCAAGCCGAACTTATTATTTATTTATTACACAATTTGGAGCTCCGTCGAGCTCCAAATTGTTTTTTCGTGTCTACAGGGAGACGTCCAGCGTTCACGTAGCTCTACTGCTAGAAACTGCATTTCAGGGACTACTAAAATAACGGGACGCGAAACTTCAAATCGATGCTAAAACGACGACAGGGCCGATTGTAAGTGGCGATGCTAGTTTGATTTAGCAAAGAAGTTATGAAAAACTTACATTAATCTAATTATATTCACATTTTAGAATACATTAAAGTGATACAAATTTATATTACTAATATAATGTATATATTTTTCATCAGTATCGTACTGATAAAATATAGGTTAATGCAATAGAAATATTGGGAGATATTTACAACATTTTAAAAAAAAAAGCCTTTTTTTTTTTTGAAAAAAGTTGCTATTTTTATTGAAAAATCAAAAGTTTTTTATTTTTTGAAAGTAGTAAGATTAAAAAATTGTATTAAGTAGTTTTTAATTTAAATAAATTATTTTAAGTAGTGAATCTATTAAGTGTTACAAAATGTTATGTCATTTATAATAAATAATAATGGTGTAACTATTATTAGTTATAATCATGCCAAGAAAATGTTCAATAGTTAATTGTACCACAAATTATTTAACATCAACTTCAGAAGAAAAGCTTCATGTTTATATGTTTCCAAGTGACACACAAAAGTTACAATATTGGTTGTCACCTATTCCAAATGCGTTTGAAAAAGTAACTTCAAATATGGGTGTGTGTGAAAAACACTGGCCACCAGGCTGCAAAATGCACAAGCCTCCTCGATCAAAGTTTGAGGTAAGCATCCTTAAAGTTGTTTTTATTGTTGTTTTTATTGATGACTAATTTTAATAATATCTTTTTTAGGTTCCTTTTGATCCCCCATCTACTTTTCCTGGATGCACATCTTCAATGGTGCGCCAAACAGTCTCAACACAACCAAGATCTACAAATATAAATAAAATTTCTTTAACATCACGAAATGCAATACCTGATGAATTGGATGATTTCAATCAAATTGATTTAATTAGATTTTATGTTGAAATAATGTTGTCTGAAATAAAAGAAAGGTAAAATTAATTTTTTCTCCTCGTTTTATGATATTTGTTTGTTTTGATTTAAAGTTTACTTGTTATTAAATCTATTTTAGATATCCTCAATACATTGCATTCATTGAAAATTCAAAAGTCATATTGTTTGATGTTTCTCGATCATGTCTACCTGAAACAATATTTTCTGTTGAAATTAACTGTCATTCACGTCAAGTTAATATTTATTGTAGGCATACAAAAGTTAACTGCTATGACCTGCTCAGTTTTTCTCATTGTCTTACTCGGTGGTCACAGCTTGAAGCTATTGTCAAAAGAGTTTGTACCTCTAGTCCTGAAATAAAAGATGAGGTATTAAGTTTGATTAGTCAAATTGAAAATACATACAGTGATACTTCTGAATAAATTTCTTTCCTCATTGAACAACTACGCCTCACCACTTATTCTCCAAATGGACTGCGCTTTTCTACTTTATGTATACGTCGTGCACTTGAACTGTATTTGTCCTCCAGATGTTGTTATCGACATTTAAGAAATCTGCTTTGTTTGCCCAGTCCAAAGACTCTCATTTAAAAATTAGGAAGAGTTGGAGTTGGAAATGAAAAAGAGTGCAATAATACAATCAAAGTTGTTTTTGAAAATTTTAATAGTTCTGAAAAGCATTGCTGCCTTCTCTTTGATGAGATGTATATTAAACCAAGTGTTAGTTTCAGAGGAGGACACCTCATTGGATATAGTGAGGACAATCCCACTAAAATTGCAAAAACGTTATTAGTCTTTATGATTAAACCTATGTTTGGTAAACCTTCTTTTGTTTGTAGAATTGTACCAATATTTAAACTATCAGTGCACTTTCTTCACGATTTGATTATAAACATAAATAAACAAATAATTGATGCAGGAGGAGAATTACTGTCTTTTATCAGATAACCATCCCACAAATCGAAGTGTTTACCAAAATTTTGTTGTTAATAAAAGTTTTCCATGGCAAGGTGTTATAGAAAAAGAAAAACCAGTTATTATGCTACACGATCCAGTTCACTTGATTAAAAGTATAAGAAATAATTGGTTTACGGAAAAAACACAAACAATTAGTTTAAAAATTAATAATCAACCTCTCTCTGGTGATTGGTCTCACATTGTTCAATTATATAACAGACAGAAAACTTGTGTTGCCAAAACTACAAAGCTTTCACGCAAGTCAGTGTACCCTAGTTTGATTGATAGACAAAATGTTGCAAACATGGTTGCTGTATTTAATAAAAAAACTGTTGCAGCATTGAGATTAGCTAATTTTGAGAACACTGCCTGTTTTTTAGCACCAATTGTTTCATTATGGAACATGCTAAATGTAAAGAGGAAAGGTTGTGATGTTTTACTTAATGATATCAATAGGTCTCCTTTCCAGACACTCGATGACCTTAGGTTTAAAGAAATTTTAGCATTTGCTGATGCAACTTCTAAGATGTCAGAGGGAAAGGGATTAAAGCGTCATAATACTTTTACACCAGAAACAAGACATGCTTTAGTTAACACCCTACAAGGATTTGTAGAATTAATAAAAAACTGCTTTCAGAAGATCACAAATGTTCTTCCCGGTATTTTTCAAACAGATCGTCTTGAAGGTGAATTTGGCATCTACAGGTAAAATTATTTTTGTGTTACTTATAGTAAAGAAAATTTTGTAGATTTGAAATCTAAAAAATAAATATTTCTCTCATTTATTTAAATGTATTATTTTTTAATATACATAAGTTTATTGATGCGTTTTTATTTGATAATTGCTGTTTTAACTAAAATTTAATACTCGGTTCAACTCAATTTATTTGGTTATATCTTTTTGCAATTTTTTTACTTATTTGTAGACAACTAAGTGGCGGAAATTATTTTATCTCAGCAGAACAAGTATTAAACAGTTTGCACCTTCAGCGGTTAAAATTATTCAGCAAAATAGTTTCTTTGGATGAAACTGACATTCATTGCTCACGCATACATTCAGACTGTTGCACAATGGATCTAATGGAAGAGGATATTATTTATTTAGATGAATGTTTAATTAATGCAGACAATGAATCTATTAATGATCAGGAGAATGCTGCCCTTTTTTATATGGCTGGTTATGTACAGCACAAGATCAATCTGCAGCGTATAGTTGATACAACAACATCACAATCAGCTAGTTCTGAATTTACAGATTATGTTTCACGTGGTAAATTGCGTTATCCTGGTGATACTCTTCTCCAGTTTATTTGTGTTTGTTATCTACTGTTTAACAGCGTTCCAATATCTGAAAAACGTTTTCAATGTGTTGTTTATTTAAAGAAATTATTTTTATTCTTGCATTCAACATTACCATTTAATTTAGAAACAGACAGTATAGGTATTTCAAAAGTTATCTCAATAATAACTAACTGTTTCTTAAAAGGTGTTACGACCCTTGATAATACATCTGATATTGTTTCATTAAACATTGAGGACAGAAAAAGAAAGAAACTCAATACTTAGTGGTCTGATTATTTAGTTGACGTTGGTGATATAATTAATAACGTTTTGAAATGTATTTATGGCTTTATATTTATATGGTTTAAAATTTGTTTATAATTATATATTTATTATTATGATATGAATATAATATAGTATGATAAGTAGTGATTAATTAGTTTATTAACATTGTCTTTAAAAATAATTATTTACAGCTAATTTACGGATAATTTACAGTTTCTTTGTAAAAAGTTGATTTATTTTTAACACTTAATCAACACAATTTAATTTTTGTTTGAAAATACTGATAAATAATTGAGCCATAACATTTTTTTTATTAAATTTCTATTCATAATTATATTTTTGTTTAATAATAGAAGTGTTTCGCTTTTTTTTTCATCGGCCCTGTCGTCAAAACTACATGAAATTAGAGTTTCGCGTCCCGTTGTTTTAGTAGTCCCTGCTGCATTTCTTCAAAAAATCTTCTGTAGAATAGTGACGCTCAACAAACTCATTCGTTTCCGTTCGATAGCGTTTCGCTAGCAGTAGATTAACTCTCAAAACAACAATAATCCGCTTTGCCGAAACAAGCTAGAGTGCGCATAGAAAAAAAAAAAAAAAAGCAAAGTTGACCTTGATTAAACCGTATTTGCATTTTTAGGCACAAAAATAACTTGGAAAGAGAAAAAACTAACATTTGACGTTTGATATCCGATATATGTTGCTTACACAGTAATGCAACCAACTACACAAACACACGCGATAGTGTGAGAAATGATAATGCTTGCACTTCGTGCGTCCGTACTTGAACAGTTTCTTTTTACCATTAGAGTGCATACAAATAGCGTGCTCTAATAATGAGCTAACCCTCTCGACTGTGGCACGCGCTGCAGAATATCTAAAAAATCGTTGCTTGTCACTGAAAACTAAGTTGCTACGCTCCGAGAGTATCAAAAAACTATCAAAGCCTCCGTGTCTCCTTTAATCATTAGTGCCAATATAGATTTTACAACGGACAAGGATTGGGATAGCAAAGAAACTGACACAGAAAATTCAGTTTGAAAAAATCCATTTTTATGTCATGCTTGACGGTTTCCACAAACGGATCACCAACACAATAGCTAGTGATGAAATTATTTTGGCTTGCCTACATAGCTAGTTCTAGCTTATATTTTAGATGAGAATTCTGGGATTATAAATAATCTGGTGTAATCAAGTTGTTTTTAGTCTTTTTTTTTAAATGGAGATATTTATAAATTTTATTCCGTATGCAAAAGACGACCTTTGACAACATGCAGCAAACTGTGAGAAGTGGAGAGCGGTTTAACTAGCAAGTTCGCGCCTTGTTTAGAGGCCAGAACCGGGCATCGAACCAGTCTCCTGGTTCTGAACCAGGACTTTAACCTCTGCGCCGCAGCTGCTCATAATTTATAAAAAACTTTGTAAGTTGCAGTAATAAAATTAAAAACTTTTTTAAATTGCATTTTAGTATACCTAGAAACGCAAATATGTAAATAAGCCATTTACAATCTAGATAAACAAATCTCTCAAAAACTAGAAAAAAAAATTTACAAAAAAAACACAACTGTTTTAACCTAGATAAAAAAACAAACGAACATCTCAAAACCTATAAGCAAAAAATAGCGCTATTATCACTTTTTCGCAGATCTTATAAATCGTTTTTTGAGCATCTGTAAATAAACAATTACGAGGAAGTATACAAGCGTGCCTAAAACAAAATATACAACAAATCAAGATTAACACTCTTGATATTAAAGACAAAAAAAAAGGATATAATGCGTCATCCAAAAAAAGATACGTGTCATTGAAAAATTAAAAAATGACATGACACACATTACCTGTTTTTCAATTTTTTAATTAAATTTAAGATACATAAAACGAAAATTAAAAAAAATAACTCAATACTGTTAGAAATTAACAACTGTAATAAAATCTTAAAACTTTTTTTTATACAATAATGACACGGGTTATTTAAATATGTACATTAAAAATCATTTCGATACCATACAAGAGACAGTTTGATTATCTTTCAATGAAGGAACCGTTACACTTATATTGTGACGTTAGTTTAAAAGATAAGCTGAACAGTCTAAGATGCCACTGGTATCACAATTCTCCATCAGCTCTATTCAAAAAAACCAAAAAAATGTTATGGAGACGATTCAAGTAAATCTTGGGATTCGTTTAAAGCATCTGGAGACAAATCACGCTTTTGTTTTTTTGTTAACTAAATAAGCATAGTTTAATATTAAAAATAAAACCCAACAAATTACATTGCTACCACCCAGTAAAAAACTAATTATTTGGATAACTTAGCATAACTTAATACTTACTTATTTTTTTTACTTTTATAACATTAGTGACTTTAAGTTTTAGTAAATTTTAGTTGATTAATAAGTTTTATATTTTACATTTTAAATATATATATATATATATATATATATATATATATATATATATATATATATATACACACACACATATATATATATATATATATATATATATATATATATATATATATATATATATATATATATATATATATATATATATATATATATATATATATATATATATATATATATATATATATATATATATATATATATATATATATATATATATATATATATATATATATATATATATATAGTTGTGATCATAAAACAAAAATTGTAGATTAAATAGAACAACATACCCTATTAGAAAGTGGGCTATTTGTAGAACTGCTGCCTGTACTACTTGTAACACCACTACTTGAAATTTCTTCATTTGTTCTGCTAAAAAAATAATAATTATGTATAAGTATAAAACCAAAAAAATATAAAAGTAATATAAATATAGCTAAATTTTGGATTGATTTTATGGCTCAATATAAATTCTGCAATCAATAAAAATGAAATAATAACATAACTAAAAAAAAAAAAGAAGGTAAATAAGTGCTTTTAAACCATTTAAGAAATGTAATTAATAAAATTCTTTTTTAAAGTAATTGTTAATTAAAATAACTATTTTTCTGTTTAACTGATTTTAAATTCAAAATTTTTAACCACTCTACTTACTTTATTTTTAATAAGCTTAGAACTGTGTCTAACTGTGTCTAGTGTATACTTTTTAACTTAATGTATAGCCCCATTAAACTCAGAAGCTATTTGCTAGTTGTTATTTAGGTAGCAATTACTTATCTTAAATGCAACTAAATTTTTTAGACGCAATCTTGTCAATATTTAGAAAGAAAAACAAGCACCATTTAATAACTAAAAACATTAAAATTTGCACTTTAAAAAAACTGTTATTAAAAATTAAGTTTTTGATTTAAATTGTAAAATTACTTAAACTATAATTAAAATACCTTTAATTTTTTATAACAAACAGATAAAAAGGTAAATAAAAGTAGTTTTACATTACAACTTTTAAACATTAATATATTTACTAAGCACTAAATAATCAGTCTTGTGTAAATGAATACCAAGAAATATAAGCAATACCATGTGGTATTGCTTATATACCTATGTCAGTATCATCAATACCGATTTGATACAAAATGGTACTGAATATAAAAAAAGAGCCGTATGGTATCGAATGGTTGCAGTTTGGTTTGATATCTATACAAAAAAAAAAAAAAAAAAATGAAATAGTAAATTTATTATTTAGTAAATGTTTTTTGACCCAGATGTTTGTTGAACGCAAAGTAAAAAACAATACTAGATAAGAATTATGATACCATGCAAGATTAAAATAATGATACCAGATGAGAAACTATGAATGTAATACCATGTTATGAAAATGATATGGGGTAGCGGTCAACTAAACTAAAATGGGGTAGTTAAAATGATTTAAAATTGCAACACCATATGAAATATTAAATGATAAATATCTCATATAATAACACAAGATCCTTGAGAATTTCATAATTCTCAGTTGTTATATAAATTTACTAAATTAAATTATTTTTATAAAAATAAGAATTTTCGTCAAGAACCAAGCTACAATACCAAATGATACCATCAATATCAAAATAATACCAATATAGCTGATACCTTTGACAGTAGTATTGCGTGATTCCAATTAGGATACAATATATAATACTTATAATTTACCAAAAAATTTATTAATTTAGAGATAAATATAGAAATTTCGATATACTCAAGATTTAAATATATAATTATCAAAAATTGTATGAACTTTATATAAAATAGTAAATGCAAAACTTCAGCCTGTAAGGAAAAAAATATTTTAATTTAAGCTTTTTTGTTAATTTGAAAAAAGCTTATATTTAAAAAAAAAAAATAGATCAAACGAGTTACTCTAATAAAACTAAAGTTTTAGGAAAATTTTTGTAACGTAATGAATGATAATTGCTATTTTTAGTAGTTATTAGCAACAATTTGCCGAATACAAGTTTTATAAATCAGTTTTTTGAAAAATTGATTAGAAAAACTTTCACCTTCACATTTTTTAAAGAACAAATTTTTTTTTGGTGATAGCATTTATCTCCTAATTGGGGGGATTATTATTAAGTTAACTTATGCGTGTGACAAAAATTAAGTTTCAAACAATATGTTCTAAAATGAAGGTTAGAAGACTTACATTCGTTTTAAAGGTGCTGTAGATCTCATTTCATAAGATTTTCTGGCAAATTTCTTTTTGTGAGAATCACCAGCTTCACTAGTAAAGGAGTCTTCTGCGCTAAAAATAACAAATGAACTTTTATTAAAGCTAAAATAAAAATTAAAAAAAAAAATAAATCTTAAATTATATGTCCATCAATTTATGTACAAAACAAACGAGTACTACCTAGATTTGTTTTCTTGACTCGATTCACCATCATCTACCACAGAAGACTCGTTACTCTGAGGGTCAAGAAATATTAGATAATATTAAATAATATAAAATATCCTCTTGTAATAAGCAAAAATTAAAGAATACTTAAATGATAATAAAAACTAATATATATATAAAAAATAAAACAAACTTGTAGCTTGATTTTCTTTGCAGGAGACTTCATACTTAACCTCAGTGGAGAACTTGCAACAGAACCTCTTTTTTTCCCGGCAAACTTTCTGTTCTTCTCCACAGATAAAGTTTCTGCAGGTTCATTATTCACAGCAGATAATAGTTGATCATTTTTTGCTTTTTGGTTTTGATTTTTAATAGGTTTTTCTGGAGAATGTTCAGAAGATGACTAATTATAAAAAAGTTGAATACACAAAAATGTTTCACCCAAAACAAAAAAGTAACAGTTATTTTCTACAGAAATAGAAAAAAAAAATTTTTTTTTTAGTCAATAAATTTTTTTTGAGTATATTATCTTGAAATAATATAATCTAACCTGATCTGATTCTTGATTCTCTAATTTATTTTTTTCTTTTGATTTTATAATTTTTTTTGCATTTGAAATAGGTTTTGTTCGTTTTTTAGAACTTTGTATATCTCTTACTTTAGATACACTTTCTTCATAAGATTCTTCTAACTAAAGTAAATAAAAAAAAAAAAGTAAAAACAGAGAAAAAAAAAAAAAAAAAAATTAAAGACAGCAAAAAAGTTCATAAAATTTAAAACAGTCTTTTTAAGTCATTTTAAACCAGTGATGTTTTTGACATAAAAAAAGTAATTATATTTGGTAAGCATTTATGCTATAAACTGCTTGAAGTAAGTATGTTTGCAATTAACTGCTGTCAAATTAAATAATGTGAAAAAATACTGGTAAAAATGTTCTAGCCAATAGTGAAGAAACATAAATTTTTGCTTTATTTTTGAAAAAAATAGTTTTAAAAGTTTTTACTGTAACTATACTTGTTTGTTCTAAACACTTAGTACCTTGTTTTATAAGTTATCTTTGAATTTGATACTTAGTACCTTTTTTTATAAGTTGTTTATGAGTTTGATACATTGTACCTTCTTTTATAAGTATTATCTGAATTTGATACTTAATATCTTGTTTTATAAGTTGTATTTAAATTTAATAAATGGCACATTAGTATTTGCATTTGCAAGGTCACACACTCTTTACTATCATAAAAACAATGCCAAATTAAATAAAAAGCCCTAAATGCTAATGTATGCAGAAAAAAAGAGGAATAAAAAAACTTTTTTTTTTGAACATGTAGAGTTTCAATTTCTGAAAGGATGTGACAAAACATAATGACAAATCATGCAAAATAAATTTTGTTCAGAGAAACAACAGAACATTAACTATAGTAGAAAAATAAAAGAATCTAGCAACAACGAGTTTTCAATTTGATTTTAAACATAAGCGATTTATAGAAGTAGATAAGAATAGAATAGAATCAGGAATATGACAAGCAAAATAAAGAGAGAAAACTCCTCTGAATTAAAATTCAACAGCCTATTTTAAAACATCATATTCAAATATTTTATTAAGACTGGAATATAAAGTTACATCATAAGTAAAAAAAAGCTACTTTACTTGTAAGATTGTTAGTAAAATCATTAACCTAGACAAGAAACAATCTAAAACCTTTCATGAAACACCACATGGAGAGAGCATATGGAGAAGAGTAAAATGCCAGACCTTATAAAAAAACCATTGATAGCTCAATTATAAAAAAACCATTGATAGCAATGGTACTTGCCTCACTATTTTTATCTAATGCATAGTAAAATCATTCAGTGAAAACCGTTAAGAAATCACCAGTAAAATGAAAAGTTTAAAAATAATATTGATTGTAGAAAGCCAGTTATTACAATTAAGGTGGAAAAAGTTTGTTGATTTATGATTTTGAAGACTTTGCTAACAGAAGATCATTTAATAAGAAGATGAATTAGAATAACTGTTGATAAGACCAGACATTATTTAAAAGAACCAATATCTGAATCTTGTTTCTTTGTTTACTTTTCCAGCATACATTACTCAGATAAATTTTTATTAATAATTAATATGTTAGTCGTGAAATTGCAAAATAAAAAAAATAAAAAAATAGTTTCCTCAACGTAAATATCAATCATCTAACAGAGGATATAAATTAATAATAATAAAAAATTAAACAATAATGATAAATAATAAGTATATATATATATATATATATATATATATATATATATATATATATATATATATATACAAGCAACGGGGGAGGGGGGAGCAGCAGGGGCATTTGCCCCCCCCCCCCCTAATAATTTTACAAATAAATAATTTTGAAGTTGGTTTTAAAAAAAAAGTAAACAAATATAAAAAAGTAAACAAGATATAAAAGTGTATAAGGAACACATATATATAAGTGTATAAGGAACAACATAATAAAGTAAGTTAACTTTAAGTAAACAAAAAAAAACATTGAGTTTTATTTTATTTTAGGTCTTTTAGTTAAGATGGTTCTGTATTTATACGCGCCTAACATAAAACAGAACTAATAACAGCTTTAACAGATAACTCAAAAGAAACATACTTAAACTATAAATTACAAATTCTTTATTAAGTTATAAAATATATTATTAAACATTCTAAAATTACAACAATTTACAATAATAATAAAAAAAAAGTTACAAAACAACAGTTTATTTAGTTTACAGGACAAAAGTTTATTGAGTTTTCATTTGATGCATGATTCAAAACACAAAAATCTAACAAACTATTACAAATTTCATACTTACTTGACAAACTGAATCATTTTTATCAATAATTGACTTTTGTATATGAGGTGAATCAGGAGAACTCTTTACACTTAGTTTTATAGCTTTTGGAATAGATTTGGCAACTTTTGGCAAAGTCTTTTTTTTAGGAGTCTTTTCAATCTGAATATAGAAGATTTAAATATACAATGTTAAATATATTCAATATATAGCAAAAATAAATATTTTTAGAGTTTTCTTTCCTAAAACTTGCATTATCTAAATGCATGCATTTGTTGAAACTACTATTGACTTGTGTGTACATAAAAATGATTTGATTTATGTTTGTATGGGTACCCTATTTACTGTATATGTAAGTCTCAAAAAATATTTTTATATTAATGGTTATTTATGTTAAAATAAACGAAATGATTATTTATGTTAAAATAAACATATTTACCAAATTTTCAGATTGAAAAACTGCTAGAAATATTAGAAGTAAAAACTGAATACTATACATATACTCAATGACTTTCATATAAAGTGTGTATGTTTGAGTATGTGTGCGTGCGTATGTATGTATGCACATACATATACATACATACACACATCACACTATCGCAGTTTAAGAAGGAGAGGGGGTTCAGATTTTTCATTTTTATTCTAAATTCTCTTAATATAAAAAGTTTCAGTTAGAACCTTGTCAAACCAACGCGACAAAATAAGAATTACTTAATGACGTAATTCATTTTGTTAAGGAAAAAGTGCCAGAACTTTAGTAAATGAATGTAGTTTTAACTTATGTTACACAAATTTAAAATAAAAATGTGCTTTAACTAAGCATCGTTATTCAAAACTTTAAATACAAAAACAACATTTAATATTTTTTCATAGTTTTTTCGTTATTTTCTTGAAATATGTATTTTTTATAAAATATAAAATCTGACCAACAACAATTTGAACATGTTATTTACACACACATACATATATGTCATGATATATGTCAAAGTTTTTTATATATATATGTCATGATATATGTCAAAAATTTTTTATAACTTTTAACTTGCTTTTTAACTTTACTGTTTTTTTTTTCTATAACTTAAATAGTAGTCGCTTGCAGTCTTGTTGAGAGTGAATAAGTGAAAAAAAAACAATAAAATTGAGACAAACAAAAACAATAAAACTTTTCAATAATCAGGTTGAAATTCTTTAGGAAAGTATTTTTTTGTTACAGAGCACATTGATAATTAAAATGTAAAAATGACATGCAACAAATTTAGATAAAAAGAAAACAAAATGAAAACTTTAATCTAATTTAAAAAATATTTATAAATTTAACTTTAGTAATAAAATTTACTTAAAAAATGATTGTCTATTGATGTATAAATATATATTAATATTAATTTATAAAGATAAATTTAAGCCTCTTAGTGGCTGCTAATTATAAAATAATTTCTTTCATTTTTCTCAACCATACATATAAAATTTTTTTTAGCATAAAAAAATAACTCGCATAAATATACATAGAAAAACCAATTAATATTTTTAAATACAAACTATATATAGTTTATTTTTCAACCATTCAAAAAATTTAAAAATCAAATTCTTATAAAAAAAGGCATCTTGCCCAGTCTTCCACTGTTCATAACAAACTTATAACTACAATAATCATTAAATAACTACAGCTAATCACACTTTCGTCATGACTACAGCTAATCACACTTTCATCATGACTAAATTATTTAGTCTAAATATTTATAGAAGCTTTTTCATTTATTTTTTATTATTATTAATTTTTGATTGAGAAAAACAAAAAAACAAACTGCAACATAGTAACCATAGTAAATATCATATACAAATAAATTTTATACTTACTTGATCTGTGTCATTATTACCATCTATAAGTGATTTTTGCATAAGTGGCAAACTAGGGGAATTCGTTACATTTAATTTACCACCTTTTGTAATAGATTTGGCAACTTTTGTTGTCTTTTTTTTGGAGGACTTTTCAATCTGAAAGGTAAAAGTTTCAATTCATCTTAAACTGTCAACATTTGTGTTGTAGTATACAATACGTAGTTGTACAAATAGTGAATAAATATGCATTTTTTTTTAAACGCAAAAAAAATTTTGTTTTTTACATTATATAAATACAACAATGGTTACAATAACTATTGATCAAAAAAGAAAAAAAGTTGAATAATCTGTTTATGGTAAGTGGTTCTGTATTTAAAAGAGGTTTAGGACTTCTGCAAAATTAGATTTTTGTGCTATCATGTGTTTTGCACTTGTTTGACATTCTCTTTAGTTCTTTAAAACATCTATTCCAATAAAAATTTTACATTTGTTTATCTTATGTAAACATATTAACCTTTAACTTTGTATGAAAATGTAAATACTAAAGATGGCTTTAAGAAAATATATTAATATATTAATTTCATTTAATAATAAAAAATGTTATTTAATAATAAAACCATTTTAGTTCGGCTTCAACTTCATTAAATTAAAAGATGTAACAAAACACTTTTTTTCATTTAATAAAATTGGCATTAATATTACCAAACTTCTGATTACAAAATTGAATAACCGGAGATTACTTCATAAATTTAAAATGTTGTCATCAGATTGCTATGAGTAAAACCTTGTCAAATATCTTCATCAACACCATGGATATGAGCTTTCATCATAGAATCAGAACAATTATTAACAGCCTATTTCCAAAGTTATTTTAGATAGGTGTAATTGCTCATTATACTACTTAAGGATTTAGGATGGTATTGAGTCAACAAGTTGGGCTAAATGTCATGTTTTTCATAGAATGTTCTTTGGAATTTAAAATGTTTATAGCTTTGTTCTTGATATCATTAAGTTTTGCATCTCTTTTCAATGATTTTTCAGTTTCATAATTCATGCTTTGCTTTGAGATCTGTTTTGCATCCTTTACCACTTTTTTTTTAATTTGACAGCTTGTAGAGAGAATGTTTTCAGCAGTGTATAAATAATGCTTTCTCCTTGAACACCATACATAACATTGACTACATGATTTTAATAAAGACATGTTCATGCATAGGATGACATCTTAATTTATCTTCATAAGAGTTTTTCACAAAGATTCAATTCATAATCTACCCACTGTAAAATTATATAAAGTTGCTCAGTGGTTGAGACATCATTTGATTCATTGACCATAATAGTATAACAGTCTATACTACAGGTTTAAGTCGAAATATCCTGTAAGATTTTTGATGCTGTAAATCTTTCTGTATATCATAACTTGTATAGTTGCTTCTTTTACATCTAATCTGCTCTAACAAGAATGGGTTGTCTTTTCAAGTCTTCTGTTGACTGTTTTCTTGCTCTTAAGCACTATTTTTAGTTTTCTAGTAACTTCCAACTTAATTGTGGTTGTTTGAAATTTTGTTGCAAGTAAATTAGTTAAACAAAAGAACAGAAAAAAAAAAAAGCAAATTTGGTTATGTCATCAGCATAAGCAAAAATGTCCATTGTTATATGAGTGTTGCATCACTCATATAACAATGGACATTTTCATATGTCCATTGTTATATGAGTGATGTAACAAAGACATACAAAAAGAAATGATTGCGCATTTTGTAATAAATATGTGACAAAATGCACAATCATTTGTCTTGTCATAGCATAGTCAATTATATTTATCTAACCAGACATTAAAGAACTTTTTCATAACAACTTTTGAACTGCCAAATAATGGCAATATATTGGTAATATGCCAAATACTGTTTTGGTGGATTTGAAATACCACTAGTTTCTTAAACCTCTTTAAGCTTTTTTTTTCATGATAAAAAATCTAATTTGGGTCATAAAGATCCATTCTTATTTTATATTCTTAACTAACCAACACATGTAGTTTCAAATCGAATGCTGTGTGTTTTCAAAATTATTATGTTAATTTTGTGTTTGTTGAGAAATTGCAGAAAGTGTTTGAGGTCGGCAAAAAATTGTCGACCTCGTTTCTATGATTTATGGTAAGACCTTTGTATCAAATTTTTTTTGCCAACCTGATGCAGACGTCTCAAAGATTAAGGTAAGCAAATTATTGCCGAACTCATTTCTCCTAATTCCAAGAAATATGTCTTCCAGATAATTTTGCTTTTAGCTTAGTTGTCTATAATTTTTTTCAAACTTTTCATAATTTTTTCTATAAGTGAAAAAACAAATATATTGAACCGAGCAAACTGTCCTTACTCTAACCAGTTCAAAAAGAAATTTTAAGTGGTGTATTTTTAATTATTTTTGCAATTTGCACTTCAATATTAAACATAAAGCAATGTTAAAATTATAATGTCTATCTCCGCATTTTTAAGTTTTGAGTTATAAAATTTTAAAAAGAAAGACTTTAAGAGACGGCATATAATTTTTTTTTTAAACTTATGTTTTCTCTAGAAAGTTTATTTTGAAGTACACAACACTATCAATGGAGATAGAACAAATTCTAATGTCGCGATAAGTCTGCAATACATAACATAATACATTACATAATTATGTACATATGTGTAATTATGTAAAATTATAATATATATATATATATATATATATATATATATATATATATATATATATATATATATATATATATATATATATATATATATATATATATATATACTCTTGCATGTCTCTTGCATGGCATCAAAAAAAGTTTCCCATAAACTGTAGTTTTAAAGAGCGCGTTAATAAACCAGACCAGAAAAAGTTTTGAAAATTAAATTTTTTTTTTTAATTGAGTCAGGCTATTTGTCAGTCGATGTAGCAGCATTCCTTTGCGAGTCAGGCTATTTGTCAGTCGATGTAGCAGCACTCCGTTGCGAGTCAGGCTATTTGTCAGTCGATGTAGCAGCACTCCATTGCAAGTCAGGCTATTTGTCAGTCGATGTAGCAGCACTCCGTTGCGAGTCAGGCTATAAGATAGTCAATGTAGCAACATTTACGCATGTTTTAAAATTTTTTTTTATTAAATCAATAACAAAAACACCACTAATTAAAAAAAACTTTCTAGTCGTTATAATTGTGGTTTTTTAAAAATTTTTTAAAAAACAATTAAATTTAATGTACTTCCGCATAAATTAATTGCTTTGACATTTTGATGACAATCAAAAACAGCTTAAGAGACGAGGTAATTAAAATTGTAATCGTAAGAGACTTTTTTTACATTAAAACGCTCTTTCGACTACACTATATGGGTATATATATATATATATATATATATATATATATATATATATATATATATATATTTATATATTATATATATATAATTATATTATATATATATAATTATAATAAGTAACATAACATAATTATAATAATCTAATACATAAAATAAGCCTACAATACATAATGATACATAACATAATACTTAAGATAAGTCTAAAATAGATAACATAATATTAACATGTTTACGGTCTATCTGTAAGATCGATGGTTTAGACAATGACAGTACTTGTAATTTGAAGGCAGCTTTTCTTTCCAGCTTGAATGAAAAGTAAATTATTCATTCTTTGCACAAGCTATTAACGCTTATATATATATATATAAATGCAGTCATTCAGATCTACTACCTCCTTTAAAAAAGAGTGTAGCTGACTCTGAATCGTATGATTTGGTGGTAAACTTTAAAACAGCTGCCACTCCATTGTCTAAAGCTGGAAGTAATGACACAAGACATGAATTTGACAATTATTTGGCACTGCCTGTGACAGCGTGTGATGCATTGCAATACTGGAAAGACAATGACTGTGAACATTAGCTTCCAACAATGGTATTGAGTGCTAGAACATTGTTGGCTATTCATGCTACAAGTACTGCCAGTGAAAGACTCTTTTCTGAACTTTAGTTGTTACCGAAACCGAACTGCCCTTACAACTGAACCGAACCAAACTCAAACATTAGATATAACTGAACCGGACCTGAACTCTAAATAAAGGGTTCAAGTCCCATCTCTAATAAATACTATGTCACAGATATAAATATAAATACTTTGTCTATAATATTTGTCAATAACATAAACAAAAAAATGTATATGAACACAGTTAACATAGATATATCAAAAATACTAAACTTAATAAAAAATTTTGGTTTGAATGAGTTAGCTATACTAGTGTAGCTCATTAAATGGACCTCATATAGCGTAACATAAGTTTAAGCATAAACTCATATTATATGCAATTTTAGTTTCCAAAAAGCTAGTCTAAACTACAAAACTACATATAATTTTCTTTTTTATAAGTTATTTCTTTGAACCTAAATTGTTTGCTAAAAAATTTGCATAAAAACAACAACAATAACAAAAAACAACCACAAAAATAATTAATAAGAACGTTTTAAATATTATAAACTCATTTTATATAAATGTTTTTATAAAATAAAACTGCTTAGCCTCACCACTCATATTACATGCTTATATAAAATCTGTAAAAAAATAAAACTTATACATATGCATATGTTTATTTATAAAACCAACTAAGTTGAGAAACAACATTGAAGACATTTTAGTAAAAATTTTAATATTTATAAGTGATATTGATTTTAGTTTGACTAGGATTTGAAATAGTGTGTGTTGTTAATAACTACTTGGTTTATTCAAATTAAATGTCTTTTGATGGCAGTGAAGTTACACTTGCCTGGTATTACTCATTAATCAGACATCATTGTAATAAGGTATTGCTCAGAACTTCAAATAATATGCCACCAAACCGTGTAATGTTGACTCAGCCAGGCACTATTGATCGATGGTATTTATTAAAATTATATGTTTACATATAAATATATTTTCTAACAAATTGTTTTTTAATAAAAAAAAAGGCGCAATTTGTAAAAGGTAAAATTCAATTTGTTTGAAATGTTTACAAACTGTCCCTTTTTTACAAACTGCTTATTATATATATATATATATATATATATATATATATATATATATATATATATATATATATATATATATATATATATATATATATATTCAACCCTTCAAAATATTAGTTTATGCAAAGCTGTGTATTTTGTTTTCAAGAAGCAAATTAAGTTTGTGATGCATTATTAGGATTTATATAGTGACTGAACTTATGAGATTAAAAGTGTTAAAATTTCAGTCAACATAGATATTCAGTCGAAGTAGATGTTCTCATTTGAAATAAAATATTCAATACTAGTTTTTAATTTTCATTTTTTTACTTTTACAATATCAGTTATCAATATAATTGTATATATATATATAAATATAAATATAAGGGATCAACCATAAAGTATGTACGCTCGGAGGGGAAGAGGGGGTCTGCAAATGGTGTATATGAGATGGGAGGGCAGTGAGTCAATTATAAAAGAAAGGAGACACTAAATTAAAAAAAAAAATTGTAAAATGTTAGATAAATAGTTTAAAAGCTTAGCTACTTTTAGGGAGGTGGAGATACTCAAAAAAGCGTATTGTAAAATGCGGGGAGGTGGCTTGACAAAAAAAAGTGTACATACTTTATGGACGACCCCTATATATATATATATATATATATATATATATATATATATATATATATATATATATATATATATATATATATATATATATATATACGTTTTATACCTGAAAATCCACAGATGCATCATCACCACTATGAGAATTTGGAGCAAGTGAAATATTTTTATTCTTAGGAGATTTCGTTTTGGATTTATTTACACTTGTGATTTTCCTATCAGTTTTAATCTTACTGGCATTTAACCATCTCCCTGATTCACTAGCTAAAAATTTAACACGAACATTACAACAATAATGAGTAATATTCTCACACACATACATAATATACCAATACAGCAAAATCTATATTTACCAACAAATATGGATTTAACTATGCATGAAAAGTTAAAAAAAAAAATTAAAATTACAAAAGAATAAGTCATAACATTACAAAAAAAAAAAACAAAATAAAGAAATGTAAGTTTTTAGTCCCTGGTGTTGAATAAGGAAAGCATGAATTTCTTCAAATGTCTGCACTATAATATTAGGCTTTTTTAATTAAGTTTTTTTAATTGTATGACAAAATTTTAAATTTCTCAAGGAGACAAAGATTACAAATTTTGCTACTATCAGGGACGTGATATTTAATATGATATTACGACATCAGGGACGTGATATTTAATATGATATTGTATTTAATATATAAATTCATAACAATTGCTAAAAAGAAAAATTGTATTCAACATAATAAAAAATTCACTTTTGTTTCTTTTATGATGTGATTTTCAAAAATACCTTTACTCATTGACAACTTTTTTCTTGCTTTGTCATTACGAGGAACTGGTACTTTTTTGTCATTACGAGGAGCTGGTGCTTTTTTTGCAGTTTCAACAATAGACTTGGTTTTTTTCTCTAAGTTAATAGCATCTAAAGTGTAAAAATAAAAAATTTCAAGAAAGATTAAAAATTTTTTTCAAAGTTAAATGGAATATTATAAAAACCTGTTTATACAATTAATAAAGAATAATTTACCTTCTAATTCTTGATCAGCATCATCCTTTATGACTTTGGACTCATCAGCACTACTTGTTAAACCATTTTGATAAGTTTGAATTGGCATCCACTCAGGACCTTTCTTAGTAAGCATGTTTCCACCAACTTCTTTTAAGTGGTTCAAACTTACAAAATATAATAATGTATGTATGTATAAATGTAAAGACATACACATATTTAAACTTATGCAAAATAAATATGTATGTACTTACATAAATACATATTTATTTTATTAAAAAAAAAAAAAAATTGAGCATTGACGCTGTCTATTTTTTAAAGGATCCTTAAGTGCCAAGGCAAGATATTTTTATTTCATAAATAAACAATAGAGAATAAGTTTTTGAGTTAATTAAATTTACCACAAGAAACCATATAATGAAATATTAACAAAAAACATTTAAATCTTATTGTTTTCAATGTTATTTTCTTTCGTCCTAGTATGGAATACTGTTGCTATATATTGGGCAGAGCTTCCAATGATGCCCTTTCTCTTTTAGACAAGGTGCAAAAATGCATTGTAAACATAGTTAGACCTGCTTTTGCAGCCAACCTCCAACCATTATTGTAATGTTAATTCTCTACCTCTTTTCGGTAAATACAATAATGGGCACTGAAGGGTTAGTGTCTCTTGCCATCTACTAAAATTCATTCTCGTGCTACTCGTCATTCAATTAAGTCTCATCTTTTTACTGTGACTATTCCTAAGTGCTCCAAAAATTCTTGTTTAGTTTTTTTTTCCTCGAACATCAGTTCTCTGGAATTTGCTTCCTTCATCTTGTTTTCATGATTCATATAATTTGCAATCTTTCAAGTCATCTGTCAAAAAAATTTGAAAGACGACTTAAAAGATTTTTAAAACGCTAATTAATTTTCTTATGATTTTTATGAGTGTTGTAGATTAATATTTAATATAATACTTTTAATATAATTATTTAATATAATATTAATATAATTTGAATAATATTTAAATTATAGAATTTAGATACAAGGCCAAGGCTTCCTTTTTTGCATAGAAGAGCACAGTACAAAAGCAAACTGAAGGATTTTTATAGCGCTACATAAATATGACAAAATTTTGTTGTTGTTGATTTTTAGTTAAATTTGTTTGTTAGTTTTTTTTTAGGCAGGAATTAATATGCATGCACTTAAATTGTTTAAAACTGTTTCATTGATAATCTGTTAAAATAAGTGTTTTTGACTTTTTTCAATTTCTAAAATTATATATTTTTATATATATATTATATATATATATATATATATATATATATATATATATATATATATATATATATATATATATATATATATATTATATAATATATTTCATTAATGAATTTATATTTCAAAATATTATTTATAAGAGATGATAGAGAAATTAAAAAGAAAAATTTTAAATTGATTTAAAAAAAATAAATAAATAAAGCAAGCCATCAAGTTTTTTTTTCTTTCTTATTTAGCAAGTTAAAATGGAAAAACTCAAAAAATAATATAATTTAACTTTTACAATTTTTATTTACAACTTTCCAAATGAAGAGCATTTGGAAAGTTGAGGTAAACATAAACATTAAAAAAACATTTGAAATAATTAAAGAGTTTAAAAGAACTTAAGTCACAAATAAATATTTTGAGAAAAATTTAGATCAGAGCCTCAAAATAAGCTCTAAAAATGTAAATGTAAATGTAAGCCACAAAAAACTTTTTTTTTTTTGTGATGTACATACTTTTAGCACTAAAGCCTTCAATTTAAAATTACTCAAGTAAAAAACCATACAAATAGTTGACTATTAAATTTAATTGTTTTTATTTTTATTTTAAAAAACACAACTTTATTGACAGTTTATTTATTTATTTTTTAAGAATGTGTTTGTTTTTATTTTTTTTATACTTTTTTTTTTTACCAAAAGAATTATTTAAGGATAGGAGAGTACATACAACTGGGGATTTTGGTTTAGGCAGGTGGTCTATTATTTATTAATAAATTCTTTTTCATATTTTTAAAGATTTAAAAAATTCTTTCTAAACTTATGTAAAGTTAAGGACTTTTTTAAAATTAAAAACATTTATTTTGTGACTTGAGTACTTTTAGCACTAGGCTCTTCAAACGCCTTATACAATGATTTCCAGTTTATGAACCAACTAATGTTATTATTTAAGATAAACATTCATAAAAAAAAAAATTAATAAATATTTTTTTATAGATAAAATTTCATAAATTAATTAATTTCATAATTTTGTAATTATATTTCATAAATACTTTTTTTCATAAATACTAAAATTGGAAAAAAAAAGTATTTCAAGAATTTCTAATGTTGTAGAGATAAAAGTTTTGAACACAACTTTTTAGTATGCTCATTAATTACTTATTTAGTATTATTTTATGTGAAAATTAAAGTTTTTTGTTTCAAAATTTTTTTTAATTTTAATTCTTTAACAGACCTTTATTTGAATAAAAGTAAAGTAATGAAAATTAAAATTTTGTAACACAGTATGCATTGTCAACATATGAAATACAACAAGAAGCCAAGCAAGGTTAATGGAGAAATCTAGAAATATTTGTAATAAAAAAAAAAAATAATAATTCTATAAATATTTTAAACTCTAATAAATCAGCGCATTTCACTTTTTCAATTGCATGTTTATTTTGTCTTACTTCATTCATTTGTCCAACAGTTTGACAAACAAAAATCAAAACAATAAAAGTTAAAACATAATTTAATTATATTTAAAACTAACTGTTCTCAAAACTAAATAATTTTACTTTGTAGGTGCTCTGGCGACAGAATGACCACCAAAAGAAAACATTCAACTATTAATATGAGACCAAGACTGAAAATAGCATTCATTTTTGTAATTCTCATTAACATAGAATATGTGTGTTAAATTTTTGTTGCATTATTATTGGTCTTTTAATGAAGGCATACTAGTTATTTTAAAAGGTGTAAAAACTAGTCTTGCTTTTATATTATTTTTACAACATTTTTTAATATATTTATTTAATTGGTGTTAAAGTGTATCTGAAATTTGTCCAATGTAAGAGAGTTTAAAGTAATGTATATCAGAAGGTTTTGAAGATGATATGTTTTCTTTAGGAGAGATAAGGTTGTTTAGTAAGTTTTTTAAGGTTTTGTCAATTAAGTTCAAAGGGAAAGAACTTTCTGGAGATTTTTTTAAATTTTTACATCTATTGTAAATGACCATTTATAGATGAATAAAAGATTATTATTTTTATAAATCATTTATATAGCTGAATTAAAAGATAAATCAGATAAAAAAAAAAAGATATTAACAGTAAATGAGTAATACATTATCTAACAATTGTGGATTTTTTTTACTTTTAATACAACATGGAAACATAAAACCCGTGTTTGTACAACTAAAACTTGAAAATATTAGACTCAGAACCTCTGCTTTTTAGAGCAGAGACACAGCATGTGTGCAATTCAGCCAATTTAGCCTAGATTTCAGCCAAATAAAACTAAATAAAGTCAAATAAAATGCTTAGTTATGAAGTTGTGAACTAACCTTAACTACTTTAAAACTAAACTGAAAAGATATTTTTAAACAAAATATTATCAATCAATAAATCAAATAAAGTATGCCTTCATTTGAATTCAATTTAAATGTACCTTTATTTCAAAGCTGTCCTTAAAACAATTATTGACTTAGTTGAATTGCTTATTTGAATTAGGATGCAATACTGCTTACAAAATAAATAAATACCATGCATTAGTCAACTAAGATGTCAAATTATTCTCAAACAGATTTTATCGCATTCAAAATAAACTTTTTACAACCTATTACAACCTTTTAAAGGTTGACAATTTAAACAAACGGAGTAAAAATTAGATGAAATATCATTCTAGATAAATGGTCTATTTTTCACAACAGTTTGTGCAAAAAACAAGTACTGGACTGCCGAAGCTGAATGTTGTTAGGCTTCAGCTTGAGTTAAAGATGAAAATAGTTTTATCACTAATCAAATAATAAAGAGAAAAATAAATAATAAAACTCTAGAAAATCTATATCTGTGTTATTAATAGTAAACATTACTTACACTGCTTTTCTATCAATTTTAGTCAAACGATAAGTAAACTCATGCAACACTTCCAAAAATAGTATATTAGTGGGTACACTAACATTATCACTATTATTAAATGCATATGTAATTCCTTCTCTAAACAAGTTATTAAAAAAAAAAGATTGTTAAACTAAAAAATTTGATACCATATAATAAAAACTATACTAAATAGATACAAATTGAAATTAAAAAAAAAAAAAAAAAATTCTTTCTCAATAGAATACATTTACATGTATAATAAAAAATACCTATGAATTGTAATAGTACTTTTTCTTGGATTATCTAAGTGTGTATTGACACCAAGCATAAGAGCAAACCTATGGGCTAAATCCTAAATAAATGTAAAAAAACAAAAACATTAAATAACTAAGAAAAAATTATGCTTTATTTGTTTATTTACATTTGCCTTACTTTGATGCTGTGAAATTCCTCAGATTTTACATCAATTTTGCCATTATGATCTTCGCGTAAACTTTCAAAGGCCTAGAAATTAGTAATTTGTCTAGTGTTCATTGAAAATATTAAAATATGATTATTTGGCAGCAAGTATATGTTCACCAAGTAAAAAACTATATTCATGCATTAAGAATATATGGGCAATTCCACGGCGGAAAATGAAAAAGTAGTCATATTTTATTCTTTTTTTTGTCAATTTTTAGAAAATGAATACTGATGTAGACACATGAAAGTTAATTTAAAATATATCTTTAATACTAAAACTAATTTATTTAAGTCATTTTTATGCCTCCCAAAGTTACAGTTTTTCTCATTGTCGCATGATAAAAAAAGGTATCATTGTAAAATGTTATTCTAACCATAAATTTATTTACATAATCGGAATTAAATTAGCTTGAAAATGGAGCTAACATTTTCAAATTGTTGTCAGTCAGATTTTATACTTTATAAAATATATTTTAAGAATAATTCAAATAAACAAACCCCTTTTTCTGTATAATAACTAAGCTAAAATAAGAAAACAAGACGAATGCGTCAAAAAAACAGGTTTCCAATAAGTTTTCTAGGAGAACTAATAAGAGAGTTATTGTTTTGATATATTTTAAAAGAATATGTATTTGCAACTGCAACTGTTTCATGTTTCATTACTGCAACTGCATGTTTTATTACTGCAACTGTTTCATGTTTCATTACTGCAACTGCATGTTTTATTACTGCAACTGTTTCATGTTTCATTACTGCAACTGCATGTTTTATTACTGCAACTGTTTCATGTTTCATTACTGCAACTGCATGTTTTATTACTGCAACTGTTTCATGTTTCATTACTGCAACTGCATGTTTTATTACTGCAACTGTTTCATGTTTCATTACTGCAACTGCATGTTTTATTACTGCAACTGTTTCATGTTTCATTACTGCAACTGTTTCATGTTTCATTACTGCAACTGCATGTTTTATTACTGCAACTGTTTCATGTTTCATTACTGCAACTGCATGTTTTATTACTGCAACTGCATGTTTTATTACTGCAACTGCATGTTTTATTACTGCAACTGTTTCATGTTTCATTACTGCAACTGTTTCATGTTGAAAGATCTTTTGGTTTTAGAGATTGAAATTCCAATTTCAATCTCTAATCGAGCCACCTCAAAAAAAAGTAGTTTAAAGTTTCTTGTGTTTTGTTGTTTCTAAATTATTTTATCACTCATTTTGTATTTTCTTATGATTTTTATTTTTTATTCAATGACACCATCTTCAAACTGTTTTTATTATCACATCTCTCAGGTCTACGAAAATGGACGGCTCCGTTGGTCACTTGTTGCGATCATTGTGTCGCATAAACAAAAAAATTATTATTTGTGGCTGGTGAGCCCCGACTTTTTCCAATGTACGCCACAACGACAAAACGGACATTAGGCTATCCCGCTGGATGTGGTTACGGCGATCAATAACCTAATGACTACGCTGACACTCACACACACGTTCAGTCGGAAGCTCCACAATGCACATCGAATCAGCGCTTGTTGACTATGTGCTCGGATCTAAAATCTCACTCCATAGCACATCATTCCACACCAGCACGGGGCAGTAGCTCTTTTGGCTAAGAGTGATGGCTTGTGCTAAAGTGTGCATTCGATCAATTGATGACTAAAGTGTGCATTCGATCAATTGAAATCCATTCTGTAGGTCTCACGTCTGGCTCTGATGTGCAAGCCCATAAGCGCAAGGAGTGAGTGTGTTTAGCTTTCTATTCACCCGATTTGAAAGTGAACAAAGCCATAACGAGACGATACTAGACGACCAAATGGTACATACTAATGCACTACACCATCACACCTGTAGACATCAACGGCCTCCAAAACCAGTATATCAAATATTTGTTCTTTGTTATATACTTTTGTTCATATTCTCTTTTTTTTACCTTATCCTGGTATATTTATTCAGATTTGTGTTATGTGTGAATGAGGCCGTATATTTGTGAGAAGTATAACAGCGCGAAAATTTTACACAAAAGCACCTATTAGCGTACTTTTTATAACAAATGTATTCTTGGTTGGAATATACTGAACAATTTCATTAGACAAGTTTATACTAATCACGATTTCGTTAGATTTTCTTGTTTCTATCTAATTTTCTCGATTTGACGTCGCTAAGTTAGTTTGTTGTGGTTTGCACTATACAGTCTTCACTAACGTTCCTTAGGTCGTTTTGTCAACAATATTGTTTTTTAACGTTACATTTTTTAGTGGTTATAAGCTATTAGTTTAAAATCGCATATATTGTCTTATCTTTTTATTTCCTCATTATTTTCTGCCTACTGATTTGATGTTCGTATATATTTTTTTTTATCTCTGGCTAATCATTATTTAATTACTCTGAATCTGTTTTGTGTGATAGCCATTGTCTCTACTTACCAGGCAAGATTTATATAAGAACATACTATTTAGAGTTATATATTTTTTATCATACTTTCGTTTAACTACTTTCGTACTAACCACAAAACATCTTAACTTAGTATCAATGTTTATGAGTGGTATTTGCTTATTATATTTATAATACATATTTCAGCCATAAAAGAAACGGTAAGTTATTATTAATAATTAATTACTATTTTCTATTCGCCTTTTGTTATTTCTACACATTATAATTGTTTATTTACACACGCGCATACGTACATGTGTGCAAGTTTGTTTCTTCTAATGTAAGGGTACCTTATATTTATATGTGTTTACATATCTGTTTATGGTCACACCACGTGCATTCCTCACCACCCTCACGAGATCTCTAAGAATGTTGGAGCTGTTTTCAAAAACTGGGATAGGGATTGGGTTTTTTGGCTTTTGTAGTGTAGTCTTATTATATTGCAATATTGACTAGCATGACGTAGAGTGCAGGCGGTGAGATCTGTTGCAAGGACATGCCCCTGACGAGTGGCGTTAGTGCAGGTCTCGAGCTCTCCAAAACATCATTGGTCATCGCAGTGCATTCCTGAGGAGGGGGATCACCATTTATCCACTACTTAATTCTAATTGGTTATTATGGCACCAACATTTTTTTACCTCTTAAACCCATGTATTTTTGGGCTTTGTGAGCTTTTTATTATGAATTTGTTACATTAACAACATTTATATATTTTTATGTTACACAGGTTATTATCAGTTCTCAATTTTTTATCTAGAGTTTAGAACATATATAGTACCACATTTATTAGACACTTATATGGTGCGGATATTTTAGTTATGAATACCATTAAAAACTAGCGGATTTTTATTGACTTGTTTACTCATAGATCATTGTTTTATCATTTGCTAAAAGATGACTAGAGTGTGAATTTTTGTTCCTCTTTTCCTGAGTTGCTAACATTTATTCCTCCTACTAAATAATCGTTACATTAGTTTATGTTTTTTTACCTAAATGACATTATCTTCAATCTGTTTTTATTTTCACATCTCCCAGGTCTACGTAACTGGATGGCTCCGTTGGTCACTTTTTGCGATCATTGTGTCGCAGATGCAAAAAAAAAAACAAAAAACAAAAAAAAACAACAAAAAAACAAAAAAACAAAAAAAAAAAAAACAACAAATGAACTTTTGCAATTTTCATGATTTAAATTAACAAAAATTCTTTTTTATAAAATTTAGTTAAAAAACTTTTTTTATAATATATGCAAAAGAATATTAAATGTTATGTTTTTGCAGTTAAAGTTTTGAATAACTTAGTTAGAGCACATTTTTATTATACATTTGTGTAACATAAGTTAAAACTACAAACATTTATTTAAGTTTTGGCGCTTTTTTGTTAACAAGGTTCTAACTGGAACTTTTTATATTAGCAGAATTTAGAATCTTTTTTTTTTTTTAATGTTAACACGTTCGCTGCCAACTACAAGTATACTTATAGTAAAAAAACGCTTATTTTTAGCCAACTACGAGTATACTCGTAGTAAAAAAACGCTATTTTTTGGCCAACTACGAGTATACTCATAGAATACGTGCTTCAAAAATTGGCCAACTACGAGTATACTCGTAGAATGCGTCTGTAAAAAGTTGGCCAACTACGAGTATACTCTTAGTTCAACTAACATATTAAAAATTTAATTTTAACAATGTTTAGCTATGTTAATTCATATAATATCTTTTTTTTTAACTTTAGAATAGATTTTAGAAATAATTAAGTTATAGACTTGTACTTGGTAAACCCCCGGTGTTTTATATAAATTGGGATAAAGATATAACAAACTTAAAATATAAAAGTATTATATGTTTAGTATTAAGGTTTATTTTCTTGAAAATTATTTTAAAAACCTTTTATTTTACATGGTATATTTTAAAACATTCGCCAACGCGTAACAGAATGCTTTTTTTTACATACAACGCATTGATAGTGTTTTTCCTTACGTTTCATTTTAGAACAAACACCACAAGGTTTTGTGGGTAACTTCTTCACTTTATTTGGTGGTATAGCAGCCAAATAATGAAGTTTGTTGCTGTTGACTCGAGGAATCAATGTTTCTTCGTTTAAGTGCTCACCCAATAAATTGGTAACAACTATTTCCCAAAATTTAAGCAAGGAGATTGCTTTATCTGTTCCATACTTGCAGTTAAGACAGTAAGCATTAAATACAAATATATCGAAAATATGAATAGCTATTTTTTTATTCCATCTAGTGTTTTTTTTTTCACAGTCATAATAAGATACCATTTTATCAGCTCGATCAACTCCTGACATGCCTTTATTATAATCTCGAATTATATTGGGTTTAAGTTTCTTTACACCTCTTAACAAATGTTTCGATAATTCAAAGGAATTATAGAAGTTGTCAGTATACAAGTGATATCCTTTTCCTAGAAAATTTTCCATAAACTCTAAAAAAATAGTTTCCTATTGACCCAACAAGGGCTCATTGGGAGTTGCCTCTCCCGAATAGATTTTTACTTTCATTACAACACCATTAGATTTGCAAAGTTCATACAACTTGACCCCATACTTATGCTTTTTATTTTTAATGCATTGCCTGAATATAAGACGTCCCCTCCAAAGCATCATTGACATCATCATCAAAAAATAATAAAAATAGTCAAAAATATAGATTGATAAAATACAATTTCTATTCATGATTATCGCTAACTACATGCAGAAAAATCAAAACATAAATCTAAACGCATCAAATACGTGGCATTGCTCTGCACTGCAAAGATTGCTGTTACAAAACGCTTACGAGTATACTCGTACTTTGGCACTGGCGAAAAAAATTCCTTCTCCATTGCCAAAGTACGAGTATACTCGTAGTGATATTTTTTTAATCTTTTATATTCAGAATAAAAAATGCTTTTTAATTATGTTTGATTGAAAAAATGTTATTTATGGAAATGTTGATATCTAGCCTTGGCAGTGAGAATATAACCACACTAAACAGCCTCGGCAGAAATTAAATATTGCATAATTTACAGCTTGGCAGTGTAATAACGCCTTGCTAAAACAGGTTTGGCAGCGAACGTGTTAATTAAAATTATTTATATTATTGCTTTCTTATTTGTTTATGTATTCTTATTTTATTTGACATAAACACACATAAATATATAAAAATAAGAATTAAATAAATATTTGTATTTAGTCATTAAAAAAAAGATTTATTTGCTATTCTCCTAATATAAAAAAGATCAGTTAGAATGTTTTTTGCTTTTGTTTTAGTAAAACAAATCGTTTGTAAATGCTTTTATGGGTCATCCACAAAGCACGTCACTCTTTATTTGTCAACTTTTAACCCCTTCTCTCCTGTCACAAACAATCACACACACATGAACCCCTCTAACTCCTAAACTGTGATAGCAGTTTTTCGTCAAAAATATTTCAAAAGATTTAAATGCAAATGTTTTGCAGTATATTAAAAATTCAACCTAATGAAAATAAGGCAATGCGCATAAAAGTAAGGAGTGTAAGTAAAAACTTAGACAAACCAAAGATTTTCTTATTTAAACGACTAAAATAAGTATTAAAAAATTGTAATACTAAAATAATTTTTCAAAGTTGCTCTTGGTCTTGCGAAAAAACTGTTTTTGATTTGATAATTTTATAAATGTTATGAAAAATCACTCAGGAAGAGTGCCACCAGTTTTTTAAAATTTCCTTTGTTAATAATTTTTAATGAGTTCAATATTTTTGCAATTGTTTTGTTACACTAACAACTCTAACTTGAAATAATAGAAGTAAAAAATCCACGATAATAATCGCAAAGTAACATAAGTGATGTAATGTAAGTTAGATATATAGATTAAAAAAACCAATTTATTTTCCTTACCTGGTCACCTCTGATAAAATTTTATATATCTTTTAAACTGGCATAGAATTCTTAACATCTTGTAAAAGTTTCTAATACAAGCTGCTTTACTGATTTGCAGAAATCTGATCTAAAAGTTGAAGCAATTTTTTTACCTAGTTTTCTGTGTAATGTAAGTTAAGTGGCATTTTCAGTAATAAGTTCGCCCTTTTTTGGTCAGACTCAAAATTTTTTAGCTTATTTTATTATTTAGATTAACAGCTTTTATACAAAATAGCTAAAAGTTTAATTTACAGTTTAAATAGGCTAATATTTAATAAAATTGTTGCGCGTGTAATGTAAGTTAAAAACGGAATTGCCCATATATGTTCTTTATTATTGAAATGAGGTTGGCAGTTAAGTAGGCATTGCCGAATGCTGACCCTAATTCTGAGGGCTATATATTCATAATTCTTATTTTTATACTAAATAAAGGAAATGCAAAAACTATAAAAAAGAATACCTGCTGTAGAGAAAACAACAAAACTTTTGAAAATAAGATAATGTTATTTTCACGTGCATATGTCATCAATTGTTTTATAATGTCTGAATAATCAGCATAACCCTAGTTTTAGAAAAAGGTAAAAAAAATTCAAAAATTAAACACTTGTAAACTGTAGCAACTTTTCTATGAAATAAAATGCTCACTCGTAAAAACTGTCCGAATATTGGAGCAGCAAGCTTAATGTCAAAAACATTAAAGCTAAGAAGCTTGCAAAACCCAGCAAGTAGTAATCGTTTGCTGTGAAGTTCTTGAGCTTTTAAATCATCTTCTAAATAAATAAAAAACTTCACATTGTAATAACAAAATGAAACTAAATAAATAAACTTAATATTTTTACAAAATAAAACTTAAATAGAATTAAACGAGAGTTAATCATTTTATTTATTTATAACCTTCATCTTGCAATACTTCTTCACTGATTGTATTGAAAACATGAGTTATGACAAAATCACGCATTTGAACTTGTAAGTTGGAGTCGGCTTCATACACAATTGGAGCCAACAATGGAGCTAAAAAAAATTAACAACATAAGAAACCTAATAATGTAACAACATAAAAAACCTATAATGCAATAACATAAGAAACCTAATAGATTAAACCAAATTGGATTGATTCTTATCACTCTTTAAATTACATAAAAATTCTCAAGAAATACCATTCAATTGTTACTTTATTTTAAAATTTTCTGTTAAAAAATACCCTTAAAAAACACCCAGTCTAAAAAATAACACTTTATTGCTGTTTCTTTACAAAAATGCTGACACAAAATAACTCAGGCTGGAAAATAAATTGGTAAAATAAAACACAACCTTTGTTAAGAATCTGTTTGGAAAACATGATAAAGAAGTCACATAGAATATTGAATATCTACAAACAAAGTATATATATATATATATATATGTATGTATGTATATATACAAACATATATATATATATATATATATATATATATATATATATATATATATATATATATATATATATATATATATATATATAAATATATATATATATATTAATTTAAATATAATTAATTTAAATAAAAATTAGTAGCGAATCAATGTTGCTGTTAAAGCCGTCAATTTAACATTAAGGATTAATTTGGTTAATCGTTTACACTTTAATTTCAAAAAACATAATTTAATGCAATTTATGCAATTGCTAGATATTAGAGCAAAGTATATTATATAATACACATTTTTAAATTTGTCTTAAAGATCCTTCAAATATTTGGATATGCCCAACAAATTTCTGGATATGTTACTGATCAGTTCAACTATTAAGAAAAGATAGTTAACAAGGAAAATAAAAAGACCTTAAAAATTAAAAATTATATTTACAGTTGAGTCAGAAAAAGACAAAAGAAAACTCTTAAGTGTTAATGTTAAAAAAAAAAAAAAAAGAACAAGACGAGTCATCAAAGATGATGTTTTTGTATTTGGAACAGGAAATGATAACTTCCTTGAGCACTAACTGTAATAGTAAATAACAGTTTATATAGAAAAAAGAAAGCAATACAATCTCTGCAGAAATAAAATAGAAGCTCAAACTTGTTGGATTCAAAATGAGATATTAGAAGTTTGTTATTTAAAGACTCAAAACCTTGCTAATAACAGTAAGGAGACTTATTGAATAATTGAGGTCAGTGTAATCTCAAGAGCTTTTTAAAAAAACAGATGCAGATTAGAATGTGCAGCAATCATTAATTTGTTTCATGTGCATGAATCAGGTAACAAAATCAGATCAGTGTATAAGAGATGAAACTTTAGACTTAGCAAGAAATAGCCAAATTTTCAATTAGTTTCACAATGAGAAAGCTAATCTAATGAATTTGGTAGATGGTTGAAATGGTAAGATGGATAAAAATATTTTTTAATAGTCATTAAATAGTTAAAAAAAAAGTTAAAACAATTCATTGTTAAAAAAAATTTTTTTTTTCATGTTTAAAATTTTAAGTTCTATAGTTTAGAGAGCTTGATTCAAACAAAGTACTTGACACACTAAACAAGCTATGCAGTTGTCTCATTTCTGCTTACTAATCTAAATTCATAACAAACTTCTTATGTGGTTTTGACAATACACACCAAAAGCTCTAACAAAAACATCTTTCATGCACAACATGATACTGTTAATACTCAGACATTTTAAAGCTGTTGTTGAAGTCATCTTCTCTGAGACCTACCACTGTTCAGGAAACATTACATTTAGCTGGTCTTATAACCATTAAATTGAGTTTTAAAGCTGTAGCCTAACATAGCCTGCATAACAGAAAGAGTAATAAGGCACAAGTAAAAAACTTATCAATGATTATGTGAAAAGCATCCTAGACAGGAAACAATGTAAACCAGTTTTACATCTATGCCTTATAGAATAAGAAGAGGTGCAAAATCAACAGAAATTTTCTGCTTTGTCCTAAAATCTTTGCCTGGAAACCTACAAAAAAAGTAGCCAGATACACTGTACATCTTAACAAAAAGTATTTTTAAGATGCTATCTTTAAACTATTCAACCAAGAGCCCCAAAACAGAAAAAGTATTTTATGTCAAAGTTAACTTCTCAAAGCTAAAAAACTCCTTCAAGAAAACAAAACATGTGGCAGGTTTTACTCAATCAGATGTTACCAGTAGCATGGTGATTATATTAACCTTGATCTAACCTGAAATATTAGAAACTATATAAAATATTAGGAACTGTGTGAAATATCAGAAACTAGATGCAATTAAAAAATATATTAATACAAATTTTATTTGGCATTTTTATTTAATTTTTTGTAATTTGTTTACACAATTAGAGTTAATCCAAAAAAAAAAAAAAATACTTGAGTCTTTATTTTGGCACCACCAAACTGCAACAATTCATCTGATTGCTTTACAAAGTGCTTCTGCCGTTTACGCAAGATTTTCATAACACCCTAAATAATTTATTGAATAATAACACCCTAAATAATTTATTGAATAATAAGCTGACTATAAAAAACTAGATTAAATATCTCAGCAAAACAAAAACAAAAACAAAAAAATCGTAGTATTAGTTATTAAAGATTATTTTTCAATAAAATGAAATTGAAATTTTTTTGAAAAAGCTTGAAATTTTTTAATTCAATAATGACCTATATACTATTTAAAATATTTGAATAGTTACAACTACCTCTATCAAAAGTTGAACTATATCATGCAAATATCCAATTTGTTTTATTTTTTTCAAACTACTTTAAAATAGAATATTTATATTTGAAAAGAATATTTATTTGAACAAACAAGAACATTTGATTTGATTTTAAGTTTAATAGAAAACATTTAGATAAATATAGATAAATGTACCATCCTTGTACTTATACAACATTTGATTTGATTTTACCTTTAATAGAAAACATTTAGATAAAATTAGATAAATGTACCCTCCTTGTACTTATACAAGGAGGGTACTCACTTTTTATAATGACCTCCTCAACTTTAGAGAGGAGAATAACTGTAGAAAACATCAGTCCTTGAGGTTCCTCTTGGACACAAAAATTTTAATGGGTGCTATTAATAATGAAATTTTGTTAAACTGTCAACTGAGTACTCAAAAAATGCAGAACTAAGTTTTTTTTCTACATTAGAACCGACAAAGTTAATAGAAGCTCAAACTTGTTGGATTCAAAATGAGATATTAGAAGTTTGTTATTTAAAGACTCAAAAACTTTTTAAGACACAACATTTAACAAATAAGATAAATTCAGACCATATGTGTTGAGGTACACAATCTAATTAAACAACAAATTTTAAAACTGAATTTAACTTAAAGCTGAATTTGTATTTTTAAAACACATTTAATTGCAAGAGAAATTTTATAAAAACAATGATAGTACATTTTTGAATATTCATTTTTTTACAAAACAAAGTTATCATTTTTTTAGCTTATAAATAACCATATTTCAAAACATGACAAAACACAAGTGAAACAAAGTAACTTTTTATTTATTAAAACAAAAAATATATGTTTACAAAAAACAACAATAATTAGTTAGAAAAAAAAGTCTAAAATCTAAAAATGCAGTAATAATGACAATTTAAGTTATGCAAACTTTACAACTTTTAATGTTTTTAAATAAACATTAACAAAAGAACATTAAAACATTATTTGAAAATTTTTGAACGTCAATTTTATAAAGGAAAAAGATGGTGAAGAATATTATGTTACATATTCTGTTTTTTACCTGTTTTTGTTTTTTTAGGATTTTTTAAAAGCCATAAATATGTTTCGTTAACTTCAAAACATGAACCTCGATGAACAAGGTCACCGTGCAGAGAAACAGATTGATATACATAAAACATGTAATATACTTTATAATTAATTCTCTTTTTTAATTTAAAAAAAATTGATAATGTTCAAATTTAACTGAGAGTTAAATGAAATTTTGCAATTGTTACCAACTTTAACTGAAAGCCGAAGTTGAAGCTGAAGTCAACTTTACCTTTTATTAAACTTTGTAATCTAAATTTATATGTATATTTGTCAGTTCTTATTCAACATAACTCGCAAAAAAGCAACATATTTAGGTTTATTTTTTGCAATTTTTCTTTATTACAAAAATTAATTTTATAAAATAAAACTATTATTTTTAAAACTAGCATTTTGTTCTGCATCTTATGAGTACCAAGTTGAGTTTTAAAACTAGCATTTTGTTTAAAGTGATTGGATTGATTTTTTTAAACGGAACTTTCGAATTGTTATTGGTCAAAAAAATAATGCATAATATGCAATACTTTATTTACTTTACAAAAATTCCTAAAGATAAACTTTTTGTCTCTGTATTTTTAACACACCTTTAAGACATAAATAAATTCAATTATTTATCATGCCAAGTAGTTAATCAAGAATGCGATTTGACTTGATAAAACTAAGTCATAGCGAAGTCTAAGCTACAGGCTGCTTAAATAATTATAATTCCTGAAAATATTTCTTATCAAATCAACTCACAGACTTTAGTTACTTGACTTAATAAACAGTTGCATTGAAATTGTCAAACAATTACTTAGATTTTTTCCAAAATGGCTGATCTATAAATATTATTTCGGCAACTTGAAACAACTCCTCAAGAATAATAGTTGAATTTTTAGTTGAGTTAGTTAAACAACCAAAACCAATTATTAAACCTTTTTAAACTTTTTTTTAAGAAGATAATTCAGGAGAAGACACGCCTTAATCAAGATAAATTGATAATGTTAAGTATTTACTTACAGCCCAGTTACACCTTTACTTAAAACCTAGTTATACCTTTACTAATGAAATTGATTATTTTGATTATATATTTATTATACATTGCTTAGACATTGATTATACATTAATTGTTATAAATGCTTTTAAATATTTCAAAAATGCAAAGGTGTACCCTTCCAGTTTTTTCCCAGTCGCCCGCAAAGCGACTGAAACAGTTTTTATTTCTCATTTGAGTTGCCCGCTATGATAATCAGTAGTCCGGAGTAAAAGTTTTTTTTATATTTTTTCTTGGGTGAAACTAATGATACTTTTAAAATTTTAGTTTATTCAAAGCCATGTACTTTGTTTTAAAGGAGCAAATTATTATAAGTTTGTTAGGTAAAAAACTATAAAAAACAAAACAAAAAACTTACGACTGCAAAAGTGTTAACACTCTTGCCACTAATTGCATTATAAAAATAATAAAACTATAATAGTGTTATTACTTTAATAAAGCACTTATAACTTTTAAAGTTCATTCTTTTATCAAACATTTTTAGTATTTCCAAACTTTAATCAAATTAGTAAAGTATCTAGAAAAAATAAAGTAGATATTCAAATATTATTAAAAACTTCAGGAACTTTTACTAATACACTTAAAAAAATTTGTAAAAACTTTATATAAAGTTTGGCATTATGAAAAATGTTACTAATAGTCTGTAAAAACGCGCGTTAATTTTAAAATCAACCAATAAAATATTTTTATTAGTTGATTTTAAAATTAACGCGCGTTTTTAGGGACCATTAGTAACATTTTTCATAATGCTAAACTTTTTATACAGTATGGTTTTATAAAGTTGTTTAAGTTCCTTAATAGGTTTAAATATTATTTGAATATTCACTCTATTTCTCTAGATGCTTTTCTACTTCAATTAAAATATAGTTTTATTAATAAACACACTCTTATAAATGACAAACTGTCTGGTCATCCTGCCTGGCTACTGATAGACATATTTTTTTAAATTTCAGTCGCCCTTGAGAAAACGAGTCGTCCCGTGCCACCGGATGACCATGAGGGTACACCACTGAAATGCCTTTTGAAAATATTTCCTTAAAAAAATATTGCAAAAATTAATAAACCCTTATCTTAAATAAGCCCCCTCACAAAACTGCAAAACAAAGAGCACTTAAAAAAGTCTACATAACTCTAAAAGCCTTTTTTTTAAAAACTAATTCATTATCAACATGTTTGCAAGCAACCACTACTTAAGTGCAAAGTTAATAGAAAACAAAGAATAAATTTAAAGAGCAAGAAAGTGGTCAATAAAAGTTGTAAAAACCTGAAAATTATATGACTCAGGAAAATAAATAATATAAGATGCATAGATGTTTGATACAGTAAAAGTATGCAACTTTTTTAAATGACAAGTCATGCAAGATTGAGTTTTGGTTGATGGAGCAAGTAATAATATTATTACTTGTTTTATTACTATTATTACTAATATTATTACCCTAGGATAATTCCATGTCAATTGAGCTATTTAGCTCATTTAAGCAGTAACCATAGTAATATTTATAGAAAAAAGAAAGAGATGTAATATCATAAAGAGAGTAAAGAAACGACAAGCATGATAAAGAGAGGCAAGCTTAGCAGTAGCTAACTTTACAATGAATTGTGCATAAGGTTTTTGTGAGAGGTTAGTACTAAATACTAATCCAATAACATATCAAGTAGAAGACTCAATTCATCAATATAGACCAACATTGTGATAATTATTAGCAGTAAAGAACTCAGTTTGACCTAAAATTCACCATAATTTGATCACACTTGAGATCAACTGCCTGTCTCAAGATTAAAACCTATGGAGATACATCATATAATGAAAATTAATCCAGATGCATCATTTGAAGAAAGCTTATGGAGGAGTCTAGCATGGCAGACGTTATTAAAAATCTTTGATATTTCAAGAGCAATAGTCCTTAACCTAGCTGCCTCTATCTTTATTTCTGTTATGACAGTTAACAAGTCAGGTTTGGAATATGATAGAAACCAATATTGTTTTTTAGAAAGTAAATTATTAAACTTCAGATAAGATGAGATAAGGTGAAAGATTCAGATTAGATTCAGATAAGGTGAAAGTTTGTTGATTAAAAAGTCAAAGATTTTGCTGATAATAGAGAGAAGACCGATTTTAGACTTGAACTATGTAAAAACTGATATAAAACTTCAACTCTATAAAGAGTAAACAAAAATGATTAACTAAATGATAAACTTGTTCTGTTAATTTTAATGTTTAAGTTTTTCTTTTAGTTTTTTGCACTAAAAAAACATCCAAAAACTCACATTTTCGACTAAGTGGCCAAAACTATGAAGAGGCTACAGTTTTTTCCTTTTATATTTTACTTTCTCACACACCTATTACTTCACAATGCAAGTCATAACAAGCAAGGTTGCTCAACAAAGAATAGGATGTCTGTTTGAACAAACAATGTACAAAATGTAAATTTTATGTTATTTATTTGTCTAAAGGAAAAATTATTCAAACATATGAAAATGTTAAAAACATAACAAAACATAAAACAAATCTCAAACCTTATCTGGGTTGTCAGCATCAATACTTGTAAAAGACATAAGTAAAGTCATATTGGTTATGCTAATTGATAACAGCAAAACCTGTTTAAAATAGTTAAATATATAAAAATAAACAATTTACTTGGTAAAATCTATGCAACACAGACGCTAAATCATTAAAATAACCAAAGAAAAAATTAATTAGTAAACCAATAACATAAAAATTGATACTTAAGAGACTCAAAAGAATCCAAAATCTGTAGATTTAAATTTTAACAGCTGTTTATAATTAAATTTGTATGTTTATTTTTAAAATCTATAATATACAGTTTATGAAAAAATGATGCCTTGGTTAAGTTTTTTGAACTAATCCCCTTCTCAATTTTAGATAGTGACCTCTGGTAGGCTTGCCTAATATTTCTGGTTTATGATATCAATTAATTATGTTATGTTTGTTTATGAATTTTTAAATTTGGATGTAATAGTCTTTTTCCTTTTTTGTTTAATAGATTTTTTAAGTCCATTTTTTTTTAGCATTTTGCTTGCTTCATGTGAAAAACCAATTTTAGTTGTTTTCAGTTGCAGTTTTCCAATTATGTTTATACCTTTCATAATATAGGTTCCATAATTAAAAAGTATAGTCCATTTAATAATTTTGGTGATGTTTTATCTATGAATTCTTTGTTTTAAATTTTTTTTTGTGTGCTTTATTTACTACTTTTTAAATGTGATAGTTCATATTTAACTGTTTGAAATGGTATTACTACTAGTTCACATCCAATAATCTTTGTTTCTGTAGCATTATATTTTAAAGTATACTTTATTTTTGAATTACCACAAACAAAGTGTTTGATTTTACATTTATCTTTATTAAAACTGATTCGTTATTTTTTTTTCTAGTTAACAGATATCAAGATCAAACTGTAGAGAGTTATTTATCTTATTTTTATCTGTAACTGCAATTATTTTTAAATCATCAGCATATAGATTTACTTTATTTTTCAATTTAATTATTTTTATAAATTATAAATAGTGATGTTTTTATAAATATTAAATAGCAACAGCCCCGAAATCCATCCTTGTGACTATTTTTTAAATATGTTTTTATTACAATCCTTACAAGTTTTTTGACTAACTTATTTTTTTATTTCTTTCTTTTATTTAAATATTTGAAACGAGAAGCTTTTTATTAATACCAAAAGGTTACCTTTAATTCTTCTGACTTTATTTGTTCTTTGATTAAATGATAGTATAATCTATTTGCATTTATCTTCATAAATTTTGATAAATCTGTTGTAACACTGGTCAATATTAAGATCACCAAACTCACGACTCTAATTAAAGCTATTTTTAGATATTTTCATCATAATTACTTATCATGACCCATTTTATAATGATATTTTCATTTTTGTAATTATGTGCTTGAAAAGTAAAATAAAAACTTAAAACATGATGGTCACTTTAGGTTTTCCCTAAGGACATACCAAACTAGATACACAAACTAGGTAGCAAAAATACACACCAAACTAGATATACAAAAAGGAGAGACTGTAAAGACTACATCTAATATATTTGTTAATGTGTAATTTTATTTGGAATGTTGGTTGTTTTTTTTTACATGATGTGTCAGCTAACATTTTAAAAAACATTTCAGAAACTGTGACTCTTTTCGTCGATTGCAGACACTCTTATAATTAGAATTCTATTTACAATTCAAATCTGGTAAATCAAAAATCAGCACACCAAAACATCTGAATAAATTTTAATTTTTATACCATAATAAAATGAACTATTGTTCATGTTTAAATCTCTAATCATATTCTTTACCCCAGACCTTAATTGTCTCATTAAAGTTATTTCTTTACTTAGTTCAATTGGTCTGATTATTATTTCATTTAATCCAGTTTGCCAGACCTTAATTTCTTCATTGAAACTCTTTCTGTTTCAACAAATCCAGTTGGTCTAATTTAAAAAATACAAATACAAGGGTTGAATTAAGCAATTGCAAAACGCAATATCTGTAAAAAAATCTGGTCTTCAATGTCTTAGTTTATGCTAGACCGCTAACTTTGTATTTATGGGCGAATTAACTTAGCGAAAAAGTTATATAAAACAAAAAGAAAACAATAAACTTACGACTTCCAAAGTAATTGGCCAGGTGAATAAAAATGAGCAATTGCTTTTACTCAGTAATTGGTCAGCTTTACGTGAATAAAAACTTTAGCAGTTTTGCACAAACTTTTATTCACGTAAAGTTAAGCAATTAACTCAGTAATTGTTCAGCTTTACGTAAAAAAAAAAAACTATATCAAAACGTAAAAGTTTTTATTCATGTAAAGCTGACCAATTACTAAGTAAAAGCAATTGCTAATTTTTATTCACCTGGCCTAATAACACTATAATCACTAACTGTGTTATAATAATATAAACGCTATAATGGTGTTATTACTTTATATCTTACATTTATAATTTATTGTTTGTTTATACAACACTTTATCAAGATTTCATAAATAAAAGTGATTTAAATAAGTAATCCCAAGTTTTAATTGAGGTAAAAATGCATCAAAAAAAAAAAGAATGCATATTTAAGTAATTTAAAACTTCAGAAACTTTTTGTAAACGTACTTTTATAAACAGTTTAACATTTCTAAACTATTACTAATGGTCTGGAAAAATGTGCGTTAATTTTAAAATCAACCAATAAAAAGTTGTAATTAGTTGATTTTAAAATTAACGAAAGTTTTTACGGACCATTAGTAACTTTTTTCAGAGGAAGTTTTTATAAATTTGTTTAAGTTCCTTAATAAGTTTTAAATATTATTTGAATATCCACTCTAGTTTTCTAGCTGCTTTTCTACTTCAATTAAAATTTGGAATTACTGTTTGTTGTTTGAACAAAGAATGAATTATAAAAGTTAAAAGTGCATTATAAAAGAAATAGCACTATTTTAGTGTTATTACTTTTATAAAGCAGTTAGTTACTAGAGTGTTATTAATTTTGTAGTCCTAAGTTTATTATTTTATTTTTTATAACTTTTTCGCTAACAAATTCAAGTTGATTCGCCCCTTAAGTAAAATTTTGAAGACTAGATATTTTTACAGATTTTTCATTTTGCGATCGCTTAATTAAATTCTTGAAATAGTTTTTTCGTTGGTGATCAAGAATGATAATATAAATAATATAAAAAAGAAACTTTTTCCATTATGTAAATTATTCAATAGCAATTCATAGATAACAAAAATAAGTAAAATCAATTTTTGGTTAAAGCTTCTTTTTATTATAATTTTTTAAATTTTAAATGAAAGAAATTAAACAAAAAAACTAAATAAGCAAACTTTTTTTGACTCATAATTTAAATAGCAAATACAAAAAACAGCAACAACAAAAAAAAAAAAATGCAAAAATATTAATATCAACAATAATAATAATATAACAATAATATTAACAATAACAATAATATTAATAATAGTAAAAATAATAATAATACCAAAAATAATAAGTGAAGAGAGGAATGATAAAATTTTCTGTCTCACAATAACAGCATTGACTAATAAACAACAACAAAATATTTTTGTACCTCCTCATCAACACTTCCATTTATACCCTGATCAATTATGGCATTGATGTCTTCATATAAATCCCAATCAGAAAGATCATGAAATCTAATAAACATTTAAAAACCCAAAATAAATTGCTATAAAAAAATATTAACAAACTTAAATTGGATTAAAAATGCTTTTAAAAACTTACCTGTTAAATGCATCTATTTTTTTCAGGTTTGTTACAACATTAAAGTATGACTGTGATTTTTTATCCTCTCCATCCTAACAAAGTTATAAGAAATATACTTCAAAATAGATGGAATAACAATTTCATAACCAATCAACCCAAACAATGATGTTAAAATGTTAATTTATTGACAAATATATTTAATTTATTATGTAATATTAACTTAAAAGCCAAAGAATTTTCTTTGAAAGCAAAATTAGGCAATCCAATATTGACAGCTCATAAAACATCATCAGCATCTTAACCAATGTATACACAACAATCATATATTATTACATCAATATATATAAATCAACAAACAAGAATCATATTATTCTTGTTTTTTTTAATTAATAATAATTGCAATTTTTTAAAACTTTTTAGATATACTTTTGTAATTCTTCTTCTAATTTTTTAAAAAAAAAATATTCAAATTATGAAGGTTGAGGGGAGACCACAAAGGAATTATATTTAAAACTTATTTCATTTAAAATCGTAATTATAAAGAACATACAAAAATTATAGTTTATTTGTTACTGATAACAACAAAATGTTTTTTAGTAATTTGAATAATATTTATAAAGATTTATTAAATTTGTTTATGTATCTACGAAGTTCTAAAAATTTTTTATTCTTTTAGAATTTAATAAATAATGATAACTAAATCTATTTATAGAATGTTAAACATTAACAATATTAACAAATGTTAGTGAAACTAAAATAAATGGTAAGAATGATTATGTTTAATTCATGATTTCAAGATTTTTTATTCATTCATGATTCATGATATTTTCAACATTTCAACAAATCAATTAATTTCAACAAATTAAATATTCAATACATTTTTCAACTACAATTGCAAAATGTATAAATATATATATAATTACTATATATCTTATATATTTCCATAATCATTATGATTATTATTTATTATAATAATATATAATTTATAACATGTAAATATTATATACAATAAGTTATAAAAAAATAATCTAAAAATAACTTTAAAAGATATTTTAAGTATTTGTCTTAGATTTTCTCATACTTCTATAGTTTTCAATAAGAATTAAATTTCAATAAACATTGCTACTAAACACACAATATATACCACAATATGTAAACACACAATATATACCACTACTAAATATTGTATTTACACACATGTTTTGAGTTATTGATAATAGAATAAACTTCTAATAAAGCAATTTATGGTTTTAAATATTATAATACCTTAAAAACATCTTAAAAAACTGTTAATTTAAGTGGAGAGTTCTTAACATTAAATATACCTAAAGTTTTTTGTTCAATTTATTATAAAACTAAGTTTTAAACATTTAAAAAAATATTTTATCACATAAAACTTCATCACTTTGGAGTCACTCAAGTAAATATAATTCTTTTTAATAATTTTATTACTTTTTTTTAAATCAACAAAATATGATGTAATACACAACCAAAGATATAACAAACAAATTACATTAAACATGATACTTTTGCACAACTTGTTAAAAAGTTGATAGAAATTTAAATTACAAAACAAAAAAATTTAATCTAAGGGCTCACATTAGGTATGCCAAATGCAATACTCTTGCGCAACTTTTCAACAACACAATCTAATGTCTTATTTTTGGAGATTTCCTAATAAAAAATAATTCAGATACACTAATATCACTCAAAATGAGAACTAAATAACATCAAATAAATATTACAGCATTTTGCCTGACACCCAAATCTGTATCTATTAAGTAGTAATATGTCTGTGCACAGGTCAACAAAAGCTAAAAAAAAAAAAAATATTAATAATTTAGAAGCAAAAACACCTTTAATATTTAATACTTAAGATATGAAACTTTATAACAATAATATTTTTACATTGGAGTCTGTATTCTTGAGTACTATGTCTTCCATGTGGCTTAGAAGAGCGTCCAGGTGCTAATTTAAAATACTACTATTAAAACATTTTCTTTTAATCAATTCTAAAAGCCGATATAAAGGACAGATATGCTTTGAAAAAATAAAAAAATTACCTTAGTTAGTCTCTTTTCAGCATAAACATCTAGTCTAAAATATTGTGGGATTGTTAACAATTCATTGGTTTTGACTACATCTGCTTTATACTAAAATAAGAAATGAACAGTAAAATCAAAAGATTAACAAAAAAAAAAAAAAAAAAAAAAAAAAAAATTATATAAATAATATTACAAAACAACAATTAAAAAATACTAAAGCTATTTTAAATTTTATAAACAGTATCATTAGATATTGTTATAATAAAATTAAAATTTAGAATGACTTATTTTTCACTATTTTTACTTGCCTAAAATCATAATGGCAACTAGATTTTTTTTTTTACTGCATTCACCTCTCCAAGGTCAGAGACCTTGGAGGAAGGAAGTCAATAAAGGAGTGCTTAACCACTACTTAGTTAGAAGAATGAAAGTTTTTATCAGTTTTTTTCCAAATAAATGGATTATTACTCATTTATTGTAAGAATGAATAAGAAACATATTTACAAGTGTAAATAAGATGTGCACTTGAAGAATGAAAAGACTGAATGAAAAGAACAAAGAATAAACTAAAAACTAAAAACTAAAAGAAATATCTGAAAATCAGAATAAATCCATAAAATAATATCCATAATAATCCAGAATAATATCCATAAAAAAAGATAATGATTGAATAGTATAAAATAAAACTTCAAAAATTTTATTTTAACTTTAGTTTACTTAACGAGTGAATTAAAAATGAGAAATAAGCTTAAAACTAAACAAATTTTATTGCAATAACTTCAAAAATATTTAAGCACAACCAATAGAATATATAAACATAATATTAAAAATATTTTAACACATTATCTGATAGAATACTGAATTTCCTTAATTTCCAGATAATCTACCAGATATCTGATGTTTTTCTTTTTAATGCATATTCATCTGAGCAAAATGTTAGAATACTGCAGAAGTAACATTTTTTTAACTACTTCAGGTTCAGGATCATCATGATTATCCTGCTATTGGTAACATACAATACAGGACTATCTGCATTATTGCATTTGATTTTCCAGGCAAAGGCTCTGACATAAAGTACCTATGCTTTGAGCTAATGGTTGAATAAAGGCTAGAGATGGTTTCTCTATAAAAAATCATCTTGGCCAGATGAGATGGAGATGTTCTGTTGACCATCTATAAGGCTGGCATAGATGCCAAATTGTGCTGCATTGTTTCCTGCTCAGGATGATGAATGCTAGATCTTCTTAATTTCTTCTCATGGGTTGTTACTTTTGTTTCTATGATAGTGGCTATGGCAACTCTTTCTGTTATCTCTTAATGAGGATACAACTTTAAAAGTTATTTTTACCCGTTCTGAGGCCAACTGGTAGTAAGGCTTCCTAAACTCTCTAGTAGCGCCCAGAGAGGTTAATTTCATCAAAAGCTTTAAAATATCAAAGTATTAACAGTGTCATGTTGGACAAATGAATGTCCCTGTTAGTACTTTTAGTGTGCATTGTTGAGGCCAAATAGGGAGCCTTTTGTTACAGCATTGGGTTAATTAACAAGACTGAGACAACTGAGTAGCTTATTGTTTGGGGTGTCATGCACAATTTGTAATTGAGTCAAGTATTCTAACAACTTAAATCATGACTAAACTAAATAAAAAAATTAAACACAAAAACCATCAGCACAACCTAATTGTTTTAATTTACTTTTGACAAATATTTAAGGTCTTCAAAGTAACTTTTTATCAATTGAATCTTACCTAGTGTAAAAACTCACCAGATTCACATGTTCTTTTGTGACTAATTTTAAATTCGGCTTTTTATTTTAGGTTCTCAGTGTTGATGAGTAATGTACTTTGATTTACAAAGTCTCCAATAGTCACATGCTTGGCCTGGGCATATACTTACACATCACTTCAACTGTTTAATAAGAAATTAGGTTTGAATCCTAAAAGACAATTTTATGTGCTTCATTTGGCACCCTTTCACTCAATCACCTTTATTTCTGTTCTTTAATGTTACTTTTTTTCTTTTTATTTTATTTCTAATCAATTTAGCCTTTTTTCTTAGTCCTTCAGCTTGTTAATCATGTTCATGTTGTTAATGGTGACTTCAATGTTGTTAATGGTGACTTTAATGTTCATCATACAGAATGGTTTGTCTCTATCACCATTGACCCTGCTGGAACTAAAGCTCATACTATTGTATTTCTCAATATCTTACTAAAACAGGTAGGTTTGTGACTAGTTTTCCAGACAACCTTAATCACTTACCTTTTCTATCTGACTTGTGTCTTGCCTCTGATCTTTGCTTGTATTCTGTTTCTCCTTGTTCTCCTTTTGTGTAAATCAGACCATGCTGCAATCTCTCTAAATCTTTTATCTTGTATTTCTTCTTCAGACTCACCCTATTGTAACATTACTTACTATTACCATAAAGATCACTGGAATTCCTTTTATGATTTCCTCTTTATAACAGTCTTTAGGCTAATGTCTTTCGCCTCAGCTGATAATTGCACCTCTTACATTTCTTGGATCCAGGTAGATATAGAAGTATATTCCTTCTTGTCGGTTTTAAGTCAAGACTAATTCTCCTCTATGGTTTTCACTTTCTTGTATGACTGCTATTTCTAATCATAACCATATTTTTCACCTTTTTTAAAAGAAGAACTCTCTTGAGCCAAAGCATCTAACTATTATTTATTATTACAAGATAATGTAAAAAGAAATCAATGTAAAACTAACACATAGGTCTGATCATCTTTCAAAGATAAGACAGAAATATTTACAAAGAACTTTTTCTCGAAATCAACTCTTGAATCTACTGGCCACATTGTTCCTGTCATTTCAGAGAAACAGATTAATTTATTGTTAGACATCCAAATCACTCTGGTTTCCATTGCTCTCTATTGTTATCAAAATCGTATCTCGAGGCTAATAACTTTCTGACATTCATGGATTTTTGAAATTCAATATGGATTTCCATCCTCTCATTTACAGTTGACTTAATAACATTAAAACAACATAAAGATTCTTCTTAACTTTTATAATTGGCAGCCAATCTTGAATCTGATCTTTCCTTGAGAACAGTATGGGACTCAGAATGGCTTGTGAATTTTAACTCTAATGAAAGTCAATTATTTACGTCAAATAATGATCACAATACTGTTGATATTCCTATATTAACGAACAACAATACTCTTACTGATTCTTACTAAGTCCTTATTTTATGTTTTCTTGGATTATTATTCACTACAGACCACTATGCAAACCATATATACAATCAATTGCAAAGTTCTGCCAATGTTGCCTCTCTTTATAATGCTTGCCATTTTTTTATAACGCTCACCATTTTTACTCCCAATTCCATTCTCTACCTATATGAATCTCTTATTCATCCCTGTTTGGAATACTGTTGTAATATTTGGGCTGGTTCTACTAAAGATACCCTTTCTCTTGTTGACCAATTTTTAAAAAAGTATTGTAAATTGCATTTAGTAACCATATACTATAAAGATAAGCAAAACTAGTAAGCATATGCTTATCTAAACAAGCTATAGTAAAGTCTGTATATAAGACATATATATATATATATATATATATATATATATATATATATATATATATATATATATATATATATATATATATATATATATATATATATATATATATATATATATACACACATATATATATCATCCCTTAGCTTACAACGCTGCTTAAGTCAAAAATTTATAAAACATTTTTTTGAAAATTTTTTTTTTGAAAAAAAAGTATTTTCAACTTGGCCGGTGTTGTAAGCTAAGGGACGATATATATTAGAAAATAAATAAAACTGATGTAACAAAAAATAAAAATTAAAAATGACAAATTTAAAAACCTTTTCTAAAAATTTAGGCAAGTACTCCATGAAATGGCTGCTTATTGCATTCCTGTCATCATTAATTGTATCCTTTTCTTTTTGGCTCAACTAAAATTATTATTTTTCGTTAAAAAGAAAATATTAGAATAAGAAAATAAAAAAGTCTAAGGTGCAGTGGTAATGTACTGACATATGTAAAAGGTATAGAGTTTAAATCCTGCCTTATCCCCTGCTACTAACATTTTTAACTTGTTTCTTGGCGCAGCAACCTTGTTTGCCAATGTTGGTGAGAAGTTTATATTTAAAGGGTTTAGAAAAAGTTATAACATTAAAAAAAAAAAAAAAAAAGTGATTGTAATGCTAATCAAAGAAGGCCTAGGAAGGTGAATTTGCATAAAAAAAAAACAAACATTAAAAATTAATATCAAAACAAACATACTTTTAGTAAAAAAGAATTTAAAAAATACCTTTCTATTAAGAGTTCTTCCTGGAGGAGGTAAGCCTTCAGCTGCTTGTTTGCAAGCTGAGCACATTATATCTATTAAAACTCTCTCCTCCTCATCTTCAAGTTCTTTAAAAAAATATCAATAAATTTATCATTTTAGAACTACCCAAAAATTTTTAATTCTTTTGGTAAGAATTTTTTACACATTTATACTTAATAAATCACAACCAAGACTACTTTTTTTTGAAAACAGTTAGAAAAGAATTTAATCAAAAAAAATTTTTTAAAATGGAAAATTACCTATTAGAGGATTAGGATCAAGAAGCATACTTGTCATTGTTTTCCAATCCTTCATAAAATCAAAAAATAAAGTTCTTGGAAAAAATTTTAAAAAATTTCTTTGTAATAAATTGCATTTTAACAATAACAACAGCAACAATGTTGCTATTTGTTTTAATAAAATTGAATTGTTAATAAAAGATTCTTACAAACATAATAAAAATATATTTTAATAATACAAATAACTTTTTACAAACATTATAAAAATAAGACTTTTAATTCTTTTTGAAAAAAATTTATTTACTTTACAACTATTTGCCAGACATAAGTATGAAAAGATATATGAATGTGTACATATACCTATCCATTTTTTTATCTCTCCATTTATATATATATATATATATATATATATATATATATATATATATATATATATATATATATATATATATATATATATATATATATATATATATATATTATATACAAAAATACAATAAAGTGTTAGCTTAGATAGCCTTAAAGTTGCAGATAACAAATTTGTTTTAGTGGTGTTGTTTTGATACAAGCTTATCTCGTCTATTCAATAGTTTCAAAGATGATGTAATGATATGGTATTTTTTAGTTAAACAAAGATTACACAACTTTCCTCCAGGATTAAATAGCTCTTGCCTATCAACAATTTTTTACCTAACAAAAAGGATTTGAAAATCTCTTTTTTTTTTTTTGATTTTTTAGATATATTTAGAAAAGTCTGTAAAACTCACTTTACTTTTGTTTTGAAAAGAGCTTTTATGCTTGTACCAGCGATCTTTAAAAGCATGCTCCGTTAAACCAATACAATTAAAATAATTATCCTGTGGTGATGTTATAATGTTGCAGATATTAAAATAATCATCCTGTGGTGATGTTATAACGTTGCAGATATGAATTATATTAATTAGGTACATAGCTTGCAGAAGACATTGTGAAGTTTGCTTGCATTTACAAGTGGGAAGGATTATATTGGAAACAATAAATAATATCTTTTTGTAGAAATTAATATTGGTTACATTAGGAAGACAGTCATTCAATACAAACGTGATTCAACACAACTATTCATTACCTTCTCAGCTCAGTTGAAACTTTATTTTGGATATGAAATAGCAGGATGTTTACACACACAAACAATTACATATATACATCACATAAGTTCTCTCAATAATAATTTTTTTTATTTCTTTCACTGTCAACTTTAATTACAAAGATAAACTAAACATTTACTAATCTCTAATTTTATATATAAATATGGTGTATTCTACATAATGAAGATACAAAAGTAGCTAATTTTAAAAAAATCACAAAAGTTTATTATACTTATGAATAATAAAGTTTTTATTTTTTACTAAATAATAATAAAAAATATTTTTTAAGTTTTAAAATTTTGAAGTTAAATGTGATCAAATTATTGTTTTAAAAAAGAAATCTGTTCAATACTTTTTTTTCTGCAAAAAGAAAATATTAAAATAATTAATTGCAATTTTGAAGTAAAAAAGATCGCCATTTTATGTATCTACAGTAATGATTCTTTTTGATGTATTTTTTTCTTTAGCCCAAAAATATTAAAACAGCTCTTTAAACTCTAACAGGACAACTATTGTATAACATGCTACTGTAAACATTGCTAGCATTAATAGAACAAGGTTTTGTCAAGAAATGTTTACTAAAAATTTACTGTCAAATTAAATATTTATCAACGTTAACTTTTGCCTTGTTTGACTGATGGCAATTTTAAATTTATTTAAAAATCATTCATTTATTTTAAAGACTTCACAAACTGCAGCAGAATTTTAAGAAATTATAAACAATACTAAGTACAGTTGAAAGAAAAAACATTCTTAGTTAAATACAACAATAAATAGTATTAATAAAATAAAAGCTTCAATTAAATATAAACCAAAATAAAATAAAACTAAAGCTATATAAGTAAAACAAAAAAAGCAAAACAAAAAAAAAACAAAAAAAAACAATAACAAACAAAACAAAAAGATGTAGTTTATGACATATATTATGCAAATTACAGTAGCGTAAAAATATTTTATACTATAACACCTTTTCAATGATTAAATGGTTCTTTTAATTTTTAGTATGCTTATTTGTAAATTACATATCCTGCAGCCAATGTTATAAAGATAAAAAAACAAAGTTTTGCATAACACAGGTTTTGCATTAAAAACAAAAAAAAAACAACAAAAAAAATCCATTGCTATAAATATTATTATAAATATAAATATATACTTTAAACATATAATAAAAATATACATATTATCTTTAATAAATATATATATATACATATATATAAATATATATATATTAAACATAGTATGTTTAATATATATATTATATTTAATATACATATATATTATATTTAATATATATATATATATATATATATATATATATATATATATATATATATATATATATATATATATATATATATATATATATATTTAAAAAATATATATATATATATTTTAATTATTCACCTCCCCAAGGCCCGAGGGGGCCACTACAGTCGAGGAGACTACTCATTTCTTTTTTTTCTTTTTTTTTTTTTGTTGTAAATCGTGGTACAACCCTCTCTCAACTCTTTAACTCCGAAACACGAACCTTGACAAGCAAGACCGCTGCGCGGAGAAATTAAGTTTGCGCGCGGTACTTCCAGGGACGTGGTGGGAGTCCAACTCCAAACCGCTTGCTTACAAAGCGAGCGCTCTTACCACTACTGCATATATATATATATATATATATATATATATATATATATATATATATATATATATATATATATATATATATATATATATATATATATATATATATATATATAAAACATAATATACAACCCTTGGAATTATGAAAAATGAGGTTGGCAATAATTTTCCAACCTTATTCTTTTAGCATCATGCCAGTAAAAAAAATGATACAAAGAACTTACCATAAAACGTAGAAACAAGGTTGGCAATATTTTGCCAGTCTAAAACACTTTTAGGTCAGCAGTATATATATATATATATATATATATATATATATATATATATATATATATATATATATACATATATATATATATACATATATATATATATATGTATACATATACATATATATATATATACATATATATATATATATATACATATATATATATATATGTATATATATATATATATATATATATATATATATATATATATATATATATATATATATATATATATATATATATATATATCATAGATTATCCTGACCATATTTTAAAAATCCGGAAATTTTTTTTCCTTGAATATCCGGAAAAAATCCGGAAAACTTTTTTGTAATATCCGGAAAAAATTCGGAAAACTTTATAGTAATATCGGGAAAAAATTCGAAATTTACAAAGAGATCTTAAGAAGGAGGAAAGATGTTAACAAGGGGGGCGTGCTCTCCTCGATTTTTTTATATTTCTTTAATATTACGTCAGTTTAACCGTATCTATGAATAAAAAACTACATATTTTTTCATCAAAAAAAAAAAATAGTAATAATAAAATTTTAACAATAATAATAATAAGAAGAAAAAGAAGTCAAAGAAAAAGTAGAAAACTATATTTAAAAGCTGTTAAACAATGCGTAAACTTTTTTAGACATGCACTTATACATTTGAATACATAATGGATAATAAAATTTCGCTTCAATTCACCAAAGATATACAAATAGATAAACATTTAACGCGTTGTTACAGATTATATATTTGTTACAAATAATAAGAAATCTTTAGTAATAAATATGTTTAAAAAAAGGAAATAAATTAATAAAAAGTAAAAAGATATTGAATTGTTTTTCTGTAATCAGTTAATTTTCTACAATCAATTCTTCCACTCAGCGCTTAAAATGTTTTAAACTTAATTTACAATATAACGACTTCTTCTTTTATAAAAAAATCTACACGTTTCAAAATTAAAAAAAAAAAAAAAAAAGAATCCCTCTAAAAAACCCACTAAAAAAGTTTAATCGTTCGTTAGATAAAGTTTAAATAAAAATTTTAAATTTACTACGACTTAAATTTAAACTACGACAAGCAAAAGGTGAGGTATTGTTAATGATTCACGTGCTTATTCATGTGATTCAAAATTTAAAAGATTTAAAAAAGTGATTTTTTTTTAATTGAAAGAAAATATAATTAGTTTTGACAAGCGCTTTTTGAATTGAAAAGAAAACGTGCCTCAAAATGCCGATTTATTTAAAAACCTAATAATAACACTTCAAAGCAATTTGATTCTGTTGACGTTTAGTCAAAGTACATATGTTTAGATTACTTTAAAAGAATAAAATCCTTATAGTTTATAATATAGTTTTATTATATAATTCTTATTTGTATGTAATAACTTATTACTAACAAAATAATTAATCTTAGTCAGTAGTTTAAGTTTTTGTATAAGATTTAATCACCCTTTACGAAAACAAGTTGTACCGAACGACCATAATAATAAACCACGGTATTACAGTAACTGTGAGATTAATAGAATTTTCTACAAGTTGAAGGTCATACCAAATCTCTCGTTCGTAGATCGAACTGTACATTGTTTCACTACTCTTTAGAAATAGATTTTACTAATATTTAAAGGGTTTAAATTTAACGATATTTCTCCTATATGACGGAAATTAAAAACTGATTTTTTTCTCACAACCAAGGTTTAAAAAAACGCAGTGGTGAGGTGGTGAGGCGTACGCTTTTTAAAAATTTTTAAAACTTGATAATATTCAAGATTTAAAAAAGCGTACGCCTCACCGCTGCGTTTTTTTAAACCTTGCTCACAGGTTTTGTCACAAAATTTTTATTAACGAGTACCGTTTATTCTTATACATATAGTTTATATTATATAAACTATATGTTTAAGTTATATATTAATTATATATATAATTTAAATTTTTCTTATACAGTTACAGTAAATGTAAATTAATTATAATACTTTATAAAGTTTTTGTGTGAATATTACAGACAGTCGTCATTTAAAAAATAATAAAATAAAAGTATTCCCAATGTCAC